AAATTAGGAGTCCATTTGCAAAACAGCCCACAGTAACCCGTTTCATAGGTATCTGATCTGAAACAATGTTAAATGCTTGGACCATCTTGACCTTCGTCTCAGAGCGAACCTCATCATCAAAAAAAGTTAAAGCAACAAGTTCCTCTGATAGGTACCATAGATGCTCTTGTAACTTCTTCACAGCAATTTTCGAGATCTCAGAATGCTGGGTCTTGTAGGCATCCAAGTCTTTTATGAGCTGCAGATCAAGTCTAGGAGCTAAGGTTGCATCAGGAGATCTGTACCAGGCTGTAATGTACAGTCGAACCGTGAAAAGATAAATATCCCTTATTCCCTTCTCCTTTCTTTTTGTCAAGCTGAATTGGGCTCTAAATATCCAAATCTTCAAGGCATAAATAGCTTTCGCCATCCAGCGAACACGGTGTAGACCGGCAGGAGCCCTAAATGAAATGCTCCTCAAAGGTACTCCTCCCAAAAAAATAATAGACAACTCCAAAAGTTCTCGGTAGTCGTCACGAGCTTGAAAGATTTGTAGTTGATCTTTGCAAAAGACGATTCTTTCATCAGTGATATCGGTAAGAGAATTTGAAGCGTTCTTATCAGATTGTGCTGTGTGGTACTTTGTGGAATCAATTGAGACCCAACTTTTCTGAAACCTTTTAAAGAGTGGTATGTCAGGTCCACTTGAAGTGCGGAGACACAGCAAAACTATTGCTTCCAAAATAATTTCTAGAATGTGGTGACGACATGCCAACCACAACATATCTTTCTCTCATATTCTCCAACATATCTTCTTGGCCCAGTATTGGCTGCAGTAGTATCAAAGCATATGCACTTTACTTGATAGTTAATTCCCAATGCCACTGACACGTCATGCACTGCAGATGCCACATTTTCATCTGTTCCTGATGGTAGTTTTGGGACACTAAGAAGCTGCTGCACTCTTACTCCAGATACTAGAATCGGAAGTCGGTCAATAGTTTCTTTACCGGTGATGTCAGCGAGTAATTTTCCATCCCAATTAATATATAAAGGAACTTCTGGTTGAATTTCTTCCTTAAACCTTCTGCTATCTTCTTGCGGTGTTTTATTCGTTCCTTTCGAATGGAAGCTGGATTAACAATGTATTCTGTTGGATCATGACCAAGAAGTTGTAATGCTGGTGTTAACACAAGTGCCACCCCACGATCACTTAATTTAGCCACATCTAAATTAGCCGCTAACTTCTCATTCAGTATATTTTTCCTGCCACATCACGCTTTGGAGCCGGTGTACCTAAAGTTGATGGCTTAGGGTCATCTTGGTTACCAGGCAAAGAATCTTCTCGAGTTATGCTATCTTTTTAAGGGTTATCTTCACCTTCAGATATATATATATATATTATATATATATATATATATATATATATATATATATATATATATATATATATATATATATATATATATATATATATATATATTCAGAGTATAAATAATGTTATGAATTGTTTATGAATTGCATAAATAATTTTATGAATTGTTTAATGAAAAACTTAAATAAAAAATAATAAAAAATTTTATTTAACATATAAAAATATTTAGATAATAGTTTGGAAATAAGGACGCTATAAGCAACATTGCTAATATTGTTAAACCAACTAGCTATTGGGAAGCAGAAAGATCCTGTTTAGGAGGGGTAATTTTAGGGATTATTCCGTTTATAGATTAAAGATTACGAATGGACAGTTAAAAGATAAAATGGACATTTAAAAGTTGGAGAGCAAAGTCCTATATTTTACTCTCTCGGTAGTGCACTTCGTTAAGTAAGTTAAACAAAATATTTCTGAACTAAATAGGAAAGACAATTTTACTAAGGTTTGCAATCCCGGATCCCGGAATCCCAAAATGCCAGGATTCCGTCTAATTTTATATTCCCGAATTCCCAGGATTATTTTAAAAATATCCCGGGATTTAGAAATTATAAAACTACGATTAATACCTGTGTTTACCAATTAATACCTGTATACCGATTAATAACTGTGTTTAAATTGCGTCAAATAAAAGAAAAGTAATAACAAAGCTATACAATTTAGCACTAATGCAATGCAAGGTTTTCATTGTTGATTTATAAGTTTAAAATAAGTTTAATCAAGAACGTAAAAAAAGATCTTATTTTACGTACTTGGTTTAATCAATCTTACATATTGTGACTATTACTGGCGCGTTTATTAGAAAATAGTAAGAAACTAATTTTAATCATTAAAACTAAATTATAATAATAATATAAATAATAAAAATTAAAATAACAATAATAAGAAAAAAATTTAAAATTTATTTGTATTGATTTATATTGTGTTTTTGTAATAATTTTTTTTTTATAATTGTTATTTAGGTGTCCCAAGAAGACCTAAGGGTCTTGTCACAGAGCACCGCGGAAGTGCATTAAACCAGGAAGTTCACGCTTCCTTCCTTACCGTGACGCGAAAATAAATTTAAAAGCAGAACTTGCACGTTCTCCGACATCGGAAGAAGAACCACAGAGTAAAAAAAGTAAAATTAGTTCATATTTTTTATGAATTTTTGAAAGAATATTTTTATCGAATATGGATAAAGAAGACAACTTGTCTGAGGTGCTTGCAAGATTAACAACTAAAAGTGGGATTTCTTTTAACGTAATATGCACTTCTATTGATATACGTGCTGGACTATCTATAAGGCAATTCGTCAAAAACCTAAATCTCCAAACACTGTTAAAAAAAATGGTACTAGGTTTTTCTAACAATATAAAGAATATTATAAGAAATGAATTAAGACAAGAAAATAACAGTGGAACTAAGTTTTCAGTTTCTTTTGATGAGTGGACGCTGATCCAAAATACCCGTTATTTGAATATCAATTTACACAATAGATACAATTTTTGGAATTTAGATTTAGTAAAGACTGTAGGGACAATGGTAGCTGAAAAGTGTGTAATTTTACTTAAAGAAAAACTTTTTGCGTTTGGTTTAAATCTTGAAAACAGTATTCTGTACATAATGACAGACGGAGTAAGCGTAATGAAAAAACTGGAAAACTATTACCGATTAATTAACAGCTATGCTTTGCTCACGGTATTCAATTGGCTATTATTTCAGTTTTATAAACAAGAAATTCTTTGTCAGAATTAGGCGAAACTCTTACTTCTAAATTATCGAAAGAAATGTCATTGTTTGAAAGTGGTTGTACTCGGGGTGAAAAGTCTTTAGAAAGTTTATGATTTTTTAGTTACGATTAAACATACGAGCGTAGAAGATTTTCCTCCGCAATAAAATAAGAGTGTCGCTTAATAGTTTACATAGTTTGTGCTTTCGGCGAGCATATTTTCTAAATACAAAATAAATAACTTTATGTACAACTTTTATTGATTTTATTGCAATAAACTTAATTAAATTATGATCATTCTTTTAGTTTTAAAGCATAAATTAATGCCAGGATTTCCTGGGAATTAATTAATGCCAGGATTTCCTGGGAATTAATTATACTATCCCGAATCCCGGGAACAGAAATTTTCAGGGTTTTTGCAAATCCTAAATTTTACGTTAATTTAGTATTTGTTTAGCCTATTTGAAAACAAGTTGAATTTTTTTTATTGTACTTAAATAATTATAGCAATAGCTAATTTATTTTATAAATGAAACTTATAATAGGTTTTAAATAGTTTATTTAATTTACTAAGATGTTTGACAACACGAGTTTCGAAGTGAAATTTCCGAAGAAAAAGTTGTCTAAAATTTTTTTAAAATCTAGAAGACTCTTAAAAAAAAATATTAAAAACAAAAAAAAACAATTAAAAAAATAAAGGACGGGGGGGGGGGGGGGGAATACTTTGAAAAGAAATTAGTGGGGGGGGGGGGGGGGGGTAGTGTCTTCTTGGTGTCGTCGGCTCTGATTCAGGGAAATTTTGAGGGGATGTGACCCCCAACCATAAAAGCGATTTTTAGTTAATAATTAATTTTTTAAGGATTTTATTCCTAGAATTGCCCCTGATTTTACGAATTGATTTAAATATTAATTTATGATTAATATTTAAAATATATAAATTTTAGCGTGGTTTAAGTCATCTAGGTACGCGTGTGAAAGGAATGGTGTGGGAGGAAGGGGGAGCTTAGCTTATCTCCTTCTAAAACTGTATAAACGCAATATTTTTCCCCAGTTGATTTTTTAAATACTATATGTTATGAACTTTTTCGGAAACTTAATTTGTTATCACTAGACGAAGTATTTAAATATTTTTTGATTATGGCGCTTTGTATATTGAATGGCTTAACTTTTTTTTGTTTTAGTTTTTTGCAACATTTTGAAATCGTGCTTTTTTTAAACGAGTTTTTTAAACGTTGTTTTTAGATGCGTTTACAATTTTTTTTTTTTTTTAATATTTTCGTAGATAAACGAGTTTTATTTTGGTTTTTTAAACCCGACAAATTTTTTCGATATAACCATATAATGGTTATATCGAAAAAATTTGGATTATATTTTTGAAAGGATATTTTATTATTTTATACTTATTATTAATAATTGTTAACAATTTATTATTAGCTCTATTTATCGAAGTAATTTTTTTAAACCTTCCTACATTGTTTACTGAACATAAAAAAAAACATTTAATACAATCTGAAACTGAAAACAATTCTTTTTTTAATTTAAAAAAAAAAAATTAAAATAGAAATTGATATTAATAAAAACTAGCTGTAGCTTGTCGCCAAAAATTTCAACTTGTCAAGATTTATTGCTAAAATTTAAACAATTATATAAATTTAAACTAAAGGTTTTTATTTGGTAACGTTTAAGCTGTCGGTAAATTGTTTGGCAAAACATATAACCTTTAACATATAAACATGTATACAAAAATGTGCAAACGAATTGTTACGAAAACCACATGTCGCTTTAGGTCATATTTAGCAACTACACAAATATTTAGCATCGCTGTTTTGCATTCGAACATAAGTGTGTGTAATTCGATACAAGCGCAGGTGTTCTCATAGATTGCAAACAAACAATTTTGGGCATTGATAACATAGATTTAATTAGCTTCGTTAACTTTACAAACGCGTGTTTGCTGTTTCCTCTGCTGTTTACCTTGAACATAATTGCTAGACTTCAATCATGGATTTTAGCTTTTATTCGCAGGTATGAATTTAAAACTTTAATTTTTTTTTTTACTTTTGTAACCATAAATACTAATAGATAAGATTGTTTAAAATGCAGGGTTTTTTTTCGATTATGAAAGTATTTTTGGAAATAACGTTTTTGTTCGCAAAGACTATTCGGCATTTTGTTTACTAATTATTTATTTTCAACGCGCTCGGTCAAGCATAGCAAACATGTCGTCTTACAATGAATAGAAAACAGAACTTTTCTATAGATAGGGTCATTGCCGCCATCAGCATCTAACTACTTCGCATAAGTTTAAATTCAAACTTATCAAAAATAAATGCAAAAGCTGAGCAGACATACGAGGAGCTTATTTCTGTACATTTATTTTAATTAGAATACAATATTTAGGTATAATTAAAAGGATCTTTGGTCAAACGAGGAAGAATATTCGCTTGAACATGTGTTTAAAAGATTTATTATGTTGCGCAGTAGATCATTTTAAATAATATTAAATTTATATCAATGTGTAAGAAAAACCAAGTGACTTCTATCACAAGATATTTTCTAAACATAATTGTCTACAAAGAGTAATTCGTATCAAGCAAAGAGATTTTAAACAATAACTTTAAAATCTCTTTGCTTTTTTGAAGTTATACTTTAAATATTTTTGGGTTAAAAAAATCTTAAGTTCATTTCTTTACAGCTCAATTGTACCAAGGAGGTTTAAACATGGAATAAAAGATTTTTTTTTTACAAGTTAAAAAAGCCGCTTTTTGGTTTGTGATTATTTTAATGTTCGGATGGCTGGTTCAATGTAATCGCTTAAAAGAGTGAAAATGAGGTAAAGCGCAACTTTACGAGAAAAAAATGAGTTTCTTATTGGCTTTTAGCTGCCATTTACAAAGGAAATAAATTTTATAAAAGCAAGCTAGTAGATCAAATTATGATTTTTTTTTAAATTTAAATTATTTTTATTAATAAATCTTTAGCAAGGTGTCCTTGGATCATTACCTGAAGATAAAAGAAATTATGTACCAATCGATAACAATTTTGAAATTGGAGATTTACCAGTCAAACTTGAACTAAGATATGCTATTGAAGCAAAAAGAGCTGAAAAAGGACTGGATATGCCTGTTATCGAAAAACTTCCAAGAGTCTCAAGAGAGGTAAAATTTTAAAATTACTCAATTTTAAGATAATAATTAACGAAAAATAATTTTGAAATTATTAAACTAAATCACTTTATTAATATTAAAAAAAAACAAACGATAGTAAAAACAAATTCATAAAAATAAAGTTTAACTATTTTTCAGCTAACAATGGAAGAAGAGGAACGAAGAAGAGTGAGAAGAGAAAGAAACAAGGTTGCAGCATTAAGATGTCGTGTAAAAAGAAAATCGCATGTTACAAAACTTATAGAGGTACAAACACATACAAAGATACAGTTCTTCAAAAATTTAAACATTGTCTATATCACATGTTATGTTTTTATATCACATGTTATGTTTTATATCACATGTTATGTTTTTATTAGGAAACAGATGACTTACACAAGGCAAATAACCAGCTAGAAAACATTATCGAGCGTTTGGAATTAGAAAAGCATAAACTTGAAGAGGCTATACGACTTCACTCCTGTAAATCAATAAAATTATGTGGTTATGATAAATGAAGGTTAGAAACGTTCTTAAAATTCGACAGCCGTATTATTAGACCTTTTTTTGTAAATACCTAATTTAATTATATATTTGTAAAATGAGATATAACTTTTTTAAAATTATTAAAGATAATTTCTAAAACTAAAAGGATTAATATTTTTCTAAAACTTTAATTATTTAATTTTTTTTACACATTTTCTAAAACTTTTTTACAATTTTTTTTTACACATTTTCTAAATTTTATGAAAACCAAAGTTTGAGATTCTGAATAAAAAAAAAAAAAAAAAGAGGAAAAATTAATTACAAAAAGTAATTTCTTAAAAAAAATCTTTAACAGCAAGTATAAAGAATTTTAGCTTGATAATTAAATAATTTCGCTTATACAAAACTGACATTTCACAAAGACATTTTTTCACTGTTTCACTTTATTTATAATACATACTGATTTGCAAATTGCAAAATTTTTTTTATATCACCTTGAATTCAGTCAGATCAGATAAAAATTGCAGAAAAACAGAAAATTCATTTTAATTCCACTGCATAAAAATATATTTAATCATCACGTGACTACTGAACAGATCAAACTTTAGACTGCAGGACAAATATTGTACAGAATAGTGACAAATATTATACCTCAACAACAATAAAAACAGCAATAACAGCATTTAAACTAATTACAACAATTAACATACTAATAATTTAAAACATCAAACTTATATGCAAAAACTCTGGTATAAAATACAAAAAACTTATAAAATAAAATACAACCCAAAAAAAATTTACTAAAGTCAACGCAACGTTAAGATACAAAACTAATTTCAATAACAATAATGACTTTTACAATGTATATATTATGTAAGATAGATGTAATGGGGAAACATTAGTTTAACTATACAAACTTTATTGTTATTGATAATAATAAAATAACTTAATTTCATAATTATTATTTCATATATTATTTAGCTTAACAATTGTAATTTAAAATAAAAGAATATATAACAACGATAAAAAAGCAAATTAAAGTAATAGTAATTTTATAATGTACAATTAACAGAACAATCTGACGAACAAAAGAAATAATTAACAGAACAATCTGACAAACAAAAGAAACAATTAACAGAACAGTCTGACAAACAAAAGAAACAATTAACAGAACAGTCTGACAAACAAAAGAAACAATTAACAGAACAACCTCGCAAACAAAAGGAACAATTAACAGAACAATCTTACGAAAGAACAATTAACAGAACAAAAAGAATTAATAGAACAGTTTGACAAACAAATGAAACAATTGAGCAATGTAACATCTGACAAACAAACAAAAAATCAGACAAACAAACAAAAAGTAAACAGAGCGACAGAATTTAATTTACAGAAAAGTTTGAGTTTACAAACTGGTTATTTTAAACATTATTCACAATAGACAGTCTGACTTAACAACTTAATGCTTAACAAAACGATTTTAAAAGAATTCCTACATCAAAATAAAGTTTAATTAACAACTTGTTACTAAACAGAGCTGCAAACCACAATTGACATAAAGTGTTTACAAAATATAATATAATCTGACAAGCCATTATACAAAATACAACTCACATAACAATTTAATATAAAACAGAATTGAAATAAACAATTAGCAGAACAGTCTAACGTAAAAATATTTTAAGTAAATAATTAGAAAAACAACCTGACTTTCATTTGTATAAAAACATTTATCATTATTATTATTACATTTACAAAGTACAAATAAAGAATCTAAAACAATAATTTACAAAGTACATCTAATACAATCGGACGATCAAAACGCAAAAAAACTATTGTGTACTTAACAAAACAGACTGACAGTTTACAAACAGTTTATAAGAAGGCAGATTGATAAGTTATATAAAACAATTACTTAACATAACAGTTTGATATTTAAACAGTTACAAACTATATTTAACAGAACAGTTTGACAACGAACTGTTAAAATAACATTGATAAAAAGATGTTTAACATAACAGTCACTAATACATTCTGACATATTTTATTGTGAAATATATCATTCTGGTATATTTCACTCTACAACTAATAGAACAGTTCAACAGCAAATCATTATTTAAAACAAAACATAAAAGTTTGAGATTTAACAGTTGCAAATTAAAATTAATAAAACAATAAATAAACAAGAACAGTTTGTTACAAAATTTTCAAATAATTACTTATAAACCAGCCCAACAAGTTGTTACATAAAATACAGTTAAAATGACAACTTACAGAACAGCCCAACAACTAGTTACTACATAAAATACAGTTAAAATGACAACTTACAGAACAATCCAACAACAAGTTATTACGTAAAATACAGTTAAAATGACAACTTACAGAACAGCCCAACAACAAGTTACTACATAAAATACAGTTAAAATGACAACTTACAGAACAGCCCAACAACAAGTTACTTCATAAAATACAATTAAAATGACAACTTACTGAACAATCCAACAACAAGTTATTACGTAAAATACAGTTAAAATGACAACTTACAGAACAGCCCAACAACAAGTTACTACATAAAATACAGTTAAAATGACAACTTACAGAACAGCCCAACAACAAGTTACTTCATAAAATACAATTTAAATGACAACTTACTGAACAGCCCAACAACAAGTTACTACATAAGGTACAATTAAAATGACAATTTACAAAACAACCCAACAACAAGTTGTTACATAAAGTACAGTTAAAATGACAATCTACAAATCAGACTAAAAACAAGTTGTTACATAAAGTACAGTTAAAATGACAACTTACAAAACAACCCAATAACAAAAAGTTACATAAAATACAGTTAAAATGACAACCTAAAAATTAGACTAAAAAAAATTTATTATATAAAGTAAAGTTAAAATGACAACTTACAGAAAAGACTAATAACAAGTTGTTACATAAAGTACAGTTAAATGACAACTTACAGAATAGCTCATTAAGTTGTTACGGAACAATGACAATGAAAATTTTACTTTAAACAAACTTATTTATAATTTTACTTCAGAACTGCCTGACCTACAAAGTGTTTACAAGGAATTAATAGCAAAATTTGATAAGTCACTATACAAATTACAGCTTATACAAGAAAAGTGATAATATTCAGAGTTACAAACTTAAACTAACAGAAACTGTTAATTCAAGTTTAACAACTTTACAAACTGCAAACAACAACAAAATCTGTTGTTATTAAACAATACTAAACAGGATAGACATAAATATAACAACCTGATACCACAAAAGGTTACTAACTACAATTCAGAAAACAACCATTACTACTAACAGAACAAAACAGAAAACTGCCATTACTATTAACAGAACAAAAAGTTATTTTACAGGAACAAAAATCAGAATCCGATACAACACAGAATTACTATCTACAATTCAAAAACTGTCATTACAATTAACAGAACAAAACATTATTTTACAGCAACAAAAATAACAATCTGGTACCACACAGAGTTACTAATTATAATTCAGAAAACTGTCATTACAATTAACAGAACTATAAGTCATTTTAAAACAAGAAACATATCAATCTGATACCACACAGAGTTACTAACTACAATTCATAAAACTGTCATTCCAATTAACAGAACAACAAGCCATTTTAAACAACAAAAACAACAATCTAATTCCACACAGAATTTACTAACTACAATTCAAAAACTGTCATTACAATTAACAGAACAAAACATTATTTTACAGCAACAAAAATAACAATCTGATACCACACAGAGTTACTAACTACAATTCAAAAAACTGTAATTACAATTAACAGAACAAAAAGTCATTTTAAAACAACAAAAATATCAATCTGATTTCACACTGAGTTAATAACTACAATTCAGAAAACTGTCATTACAATTAACAGAACAACAAGTCATTTTAAAACAACAAACGTGACAATCTGATACCACACAGAGTTACTAACTACAATTCAGAAAAATGACATTAAAATTAACAGAACAACAACTTAATTTAAAACAGCAAACATGACAATCTGATATCACACCAAGTTACTACATTTCAGAAAACTGTCATAACAATTAACAGAATAACAAGTCATTTTTAAACAGCAAACGTGACAATCTAATAACACACAAAGTTACTTACTACAATTCGGAAAATTGTCATTACAATTAACAGAACAATAAGTCATTTAAAAAACAACAACAAGAAAAACAGCTGACATAATATTTTGATATTATACAAAGTATCAATCTGCCATATTAAATCTACAAAAAGTTAAAAATTACAATTAAGAAGACTAATTAAAGAAATATAGCAACAATTTGCAAAACAAAAAATTTACTTTACAGACTTAACATGTTTTTGACAATTTACATAAATTAATATAATTTAACATATTTATCAAACTTATGAAACAAAATTTACAAAACTACTAATTTTACAGAATAAAAAAAAACAACATATTCCTGATAACTACATAAAAAAAAAAAAAATATTCTGATAAACCTGATATTGGGTATATTTACAATCTAAAAACTACAAAAACAACAAAAAGAAATCCCAATATACAAAATACAACAATTAAAACAATACAAATCTTGTAAACATAAATACTACTAAAAAAAACTACAGATAACAGAACATTTAAATGTATTTAGGTACAAAAAAAAATATTAAGTATAAGAATATTGTTACGAATATATTGTAATAAATAATTATTAATAATAAAAATCTAGTATAAAACAGGTATAATTACAGTAACTTAACAAAAAAAACAATCAGACAAAAATATATATTAAGTATAACAACTGACAAAACAATCTGACAAATACCCAAAAGAAAAATAACCAAAAAAAAACTAAATAGTCAACAGAACAACCAGACATGAAACATATTAGATTGTATTGTCAATTACAATTGACAATGCAATCTAAAAACAAATTACAAAACAAATTATCTACAACAATTACGAAAACCTAATAACATAAATAAAAAAGACTACAAACGGCAGTTAATAGAACAATCTAATCAATAAACAGATTATACTATTTAAAAAAAAACTGGCCGACAAAAAACAATATACAGCAAAAACAAAACAATATGACATAAAATATATACGTACGACAAAACAACCCTACTTAAAGTCGACTTACTGTAGCAATTAACAGCAACTAATACAACAATTTGACATAAAACAAAAACAAAACTAAACAAATAACACACTGCAAGTGCCTGGACAATCTGACCTAAAATAGATGTACTACATACCACAAGTAATGAAACAATCTGACCTTAATTAAATTTTAAATTAAAAAAAAAATAAAAACACTGTGACTTAAAATAAATTACATAACACAAGTAACAAAACACTGTGACTTGAAACAAATCAAATATTACAAGTATCAAAAAACTGTGACTTAAAATAAATTAAATATTACAAGTATCAAAACACTGTGACTTAAAATAAATTACATATTACAACTAACAAAACAATCTGACTTAAAACAAAAAAGTATTACAAGTATTAAACTGCAACATAAAACAAAATACATATCGCAAGTAACAAAACACTGTGATTTAAAATAAATCAAATAATACAAGTAACAAATTACATATTACAAGTAATAAAACAACTTACATATTACAAGTAACAGAACTAAAACAAACAAAACTAACACATGTGACCTAAAATAAATTTTATACCAAAATTGTGACAAAACAATTAACAAATTAAAGACGACATAACACAACTAAGAGAAAAATGACACAACCTGACCAAAACAAATTTAATACCACAAATAACAGAACAATTTAACCTGAAAAATCATACTACAAGTAATAGAAGAATTAGATCTAAAACAGAACATATCTCAAAAGTAATAGAACAATAAGTTATAAAGAAACTAAATACCACAGAAAGAAATTACATACCAAAAGTAACGAAACAATCTAATATAAAACAAACTTAATACCACAAATAACATTTTTATCTAAAACCAATTAAACGTAAAACAAGTTTAATACCACAAATAACAGAAAAACCTGACATAAAACTGATTACATAACACCAATAACAGAACAATATGACTTAAAACGTACTTAATACCACAAGTAACAAAACCATTTGACCTACACAAATAAGAGAACATTTTTACTTAAACAGATTACCAACTACAAGTAATAGAATGTTCTGTCATAAAATAGATTACATACAACAAGTGACGGAACATTATGATTTAAAAGAAAGTAATATGACAATAAACAAAACAATTAGATGTAAAACAATTTATAGGACAAATAACAGAACAGTCTGACATAAAACATTATATACCACAAGGAACCAAACAATTTATATTAAAAAACAAACAAATACATAACACAATAGAACAATCTAAATAAACTTACTACAACAAATAACTGAACAATTTAAACTAAATTAATTACATATTACGAATAACAGAACATTTTTACCTAAGCAGACTAGTAACAGAACAGTTTGACCTAAAACAAATTTAATACAACAAGTAACAGAACAATCTGTCGTAAAACATTACATAACACATATTACATATTACAAAGTGACAGAACAATATGACTTAAAACATTTTTAATACCATAAGTAACAAAACAATTTGACCTAAATAAATTATGTACCACAAACAAGAAAACATTTTTACTTAAACAGATTACCAACTACAAGGACAATCTGACAGAAAACAGATTACCAATTACAAGTAACAGTAAAATTTTACCCTTAAAACAAACTTAATGCAACAATTAACAGAACAATCTGAAATAAAACAGATTACATACTACAAGTAATAGAACAATCTGAAAAAGTTAATATTAGAATTAACAAGATTTTTTTGTAAAACAAAATACATACCACAAGTAACAGAGCGATTTGATCTAAACGCGTCAAGTAGGACAATTAGATCTAAAGAAATACCATAATTAAGGGATCATTTTTACCTAAATAGACTATTAGTGGCAAAATAATTGACCTAAAACAGATTAAATACTTAATAAAACAGATTACATACTTAATAAAATAGATTACATACTTAATAAAACAGATTACATAATATAACAGATTACATACTTAATAAAACAGATTAAATACTTAATAAAACAGATTACATACTTAATAACACAGATTAAATACTTAATAAAACAGATTACATACTTAATAAAACAGATTACATACTTAATAAAACAGATTACATACTTGATAAAATAGAACATACTAACCTAAAACAAATTTAACATCAGAAGAAGCAAAACAACTTGACATAAAACAAACTATATACCACACTTAACAGAACAATCTGACCTAAAACAAATTAAATATTATGTGTAATAAAACAATTTGACCCACAACAGATTATATACCAAAAGTAACATAACAGTTTATACTAAAACAAAGTACATGCCACAAGCAACATAACATTTTTACCTAAAACAAATTTAATACCACAGGCGACAAAACAATTTGACATAAAACAGATTATGTTACAAGTAACAAAACAATCTGACCTAAAACAAATTTAATATGATACATAATAAAACAATCTGATCGAAAACAGATTACCTATCACTATTAACAAAACAAATTTTGTTCAAACATAAAACATACTACTGGTAACAAGAACAATCCGACCTAAAACAGAAAAAATACCACAAGTAATAAAACAATTTGACCTAAAACAAATTTAATACCCTAAGTAACAAAACAATCTGTCATAAATAAATTACATACCAAAAATAACAATTTTTACTTAACACACATTACCTACAAATAACAGAACAATTTGACATAAAACAAATACACTACATATCACAAATAACAGAACATTTTTACCTAAAAAGATCATCTACCACAAGTAATAGAACAATCTGACCTAAAACAAATTTAATACCATAAATAATAGAACAACCCGACATTAGGCAGACAATATAACACTATAAACAAAAAAATCTGACCCAAAACAAATTTATTGCCACAAGTAACAAAAATAATTTGACTGAAAACTTATTACATACTATAAGTAACAAAACAATCTGACCTAAAACAAACTCATCTCCACAAATAACAGAATAATCTGACATAAAACAGAACAATCTGAAATAAATTACAGAACATCAAATAACTTGAATAACATAACAATCTGAAACAAATTACAGAACATCTTAGACATTATGGTTCATTTAACAATCTGAAACAAATCATCAAACAATTTACATATCATTAACAAACTTGTTACTAAACAAAATACACTAATAAACAGAATATAACATAGTCACAACAAACAGATAAATACTGTCAAAAGCAGATTATAAAGCGCATTTAACAAAAAAACATTTTAAAATCTGTGACTAAAGAGATTGCATAAAATGATATACAAAACATGTGCATTGAAATACTGTAAAACTAGACATTAAAAAGATTACATTTCACAATCTTCAAGATATAACAAGATTAAGAAGAGATATAACAAGATAATAGGAATATTTACAAGACAAACTGAGAAAAAACTAATCTCATACTGTGAGTAATAGTACAATCTGGCTTTGTTTGAGTCAGATTTTACATATTGATTTCCAGAAGTCTGAATATATTAGGTAACAACTATGACAGAAAAAATTACAGAATAATATAAAATTACAGAATACGATTAACATAACAACCTCACACAACACAGATTATACATTGCAATAACAGAGTTAAAACAAATTGTATAACACAGAACAATTCTGTAAAAATCTGACATATAGTATATACCACATAAGTAAAAAAGCTTTTTTATAACAAAAAAAAAAGTACAAAAACCTGACAATGAATACATACTGACTAACAGATTAGATATAAAAACAGATAACAATACAGACTACAAAATTTCTGATATAAACTAGATTACATATTAAAATTATTAGAGCCACCTTATATGAAACAATTCGCTGAAGCAATTAGCAGAACAGACTGACGCTAAACAAATGATATTTCACAAGTTGACAAAAAACAGATTACATATATCCATTTAAAGAGAAATATGACAAAAAAGAATACAAAATACAACCAACAAAACAATCTGACACTAAACAAAAGATACATCACAATTAACAATTAGACATAAAACAAATCACATATCTTAATTTACAAAGAAATATAACACAAAAAGATTACAAAATACAATGAATAGAACAATCAGACAAATGAGGATAAAAGACATTTTATCCTCATTTAACAATTTGACATTAGATATTACAAAAAAATTTTAATTGTAATATGTAATTTGTTATAAAAAAAACAAATTACATATTACAATTAAAAAAAAAACAGAACAAAAGATAGATTAACTAGCTCAATTTACAGAACAACTTGACACAGACTTGATATCCTAGTTAACAGACAAAATTAAAAAATAAAAAATAAATTAAAACAAAACAAAAAACAACAATTAGCAAAACTATCTGTCGCTAAACAAATTTTTTTTTTCAATTCTCATAAGAAATCAAAAACACATACTAAATTTGAAAATTGCTTTAAAACAGTAGTTTTCAATTGTGGCATTTAGTCTAGTTTAGTAAACTATTATTACTATATAAATACAAATAATAGTTAAACAACCTGACTTTAGGTGTAATAATTAAAAATATCTACTAAAATTAAAAAGATGACTTGACATGAAATTGAACATCAATTTCCAGGACAATTTCTTAATTAAAAGAACAATCTAACTAAAAGCTAATTTTCATAATAAAAACAAAAATTTAACACAAAACAGACAAGATACATTAAATAACAAAACAATAACTACTGCAATATAACAAACACAAGTACAATCAACAGAACATAAAACGGATGTGCAGCAGAACAATTTAAATGAAAGTAAATTAATAAAATTAACAAAACAGATAGAGTGTAGCAATCAATAAAAAAAACTGCATAACAATTAAAACAGATTATGTACAACAGCACAACAACTTGACAAAACAAATTACACTAATGACTAACAGAACAATCTTACATAAAACTAACAGAACAACTAACTAAAACAACTAACAAAACAATCTTACGTAAAACAGATTATGTAAAATAAACGACACAACAATTTGACATAACATGGCATAAAACAAAATAAGTAAACCTAATAATTATATTTAATATAAACTATATATCTATAAGTAAATCCTATAATTATAAAATTAACAAAATGATCCTGACAAAAGATTAGATACAGCAGATAACTTTGATCAAACATTAGATATGACAATTAACAGATTATTACTTTATATATTATACTATTTATATATAAATTTAGTCATATACAACTTGATTACATGCAGCAATAAACATAACTAGCATTAATTAACAAGTTAGATCATCAAGTTAGAAACATCACTTACTTGTTAGAATTAAAGAAAATATTTGACAAAAAAATTGTACAACACTTATTAGAAAAATCCAATCGTAGATTTTGTTTGAATCTTAAAATAAATTTATGACAATTAACATTATAAAGTATTTATACATAAGATAGTAATTAAAAAAAGAAGAACTAAACGACTTCACAATCAAAATGAACAACAGAATAATTTCACATAAACAGACTACATAACACAATTTCAAACAGAATTATTCACAATAATTAACAAAACTTTGTCACAATTAACAAAACAGTATGACATTAAGTAATAATATGTGCCCAGCATTTAACACGACAGTATGACATAAAATAATACTGTGTACCACATTTAATATAACATGATATCAAACAAAACAGTGTACCACACTTAACATAACAGTATGATATTAAACAATACTGTCTACCACATTTAATATAACAGTGTGACATTAAACAATACTGACTACCACATTTAACATAACAGTATGACATTAAACAGTACTGTGTACCAAATCTAACAAAACAGTATGACAATAAACAATACTGTGTACCATATTTAACATAACAGTATGACATTAAACAATACTGTCTACCACATTTAACATAATTGTATGACAAACAATACTATGTACCACATCTAACAAAACAGTATGACATTAAACAATACTGTGTATTATATTTAACATAACAGTATGACATTAAACAATACTGTCTACCACATTTAACATAACAATATGACATTAAAGAATACTGTGTACCACATCTAACAAAACAGTATGACATTAAAAAATACTGTGTACCACATTTAAAAAAACAGTATGACATTAAACAATACTGTGTACCATATTTAACATAACAGTATGACATTAAACAATATTGTGCACCATATTTAACATAACAGTATGACATTAAACAATACTGTCTACCACATTTAACATAACAGTATGAAAATAAACAATACTGTGTACCACATCGAACAAAACAGTACGACATTAAACATTACTGTGTACCATATTTAACAAAACAGTATAACATTAAACAATACCGTGTACCGTATTTAAAAAACAGTATGACATTAAACAATACTGTCTACCACTGTTAACATAACAGTATGACAATAAACAATACTGTGTACCACATCTAACAAAACAGTATGATTTTAAACAATACTGTGCACTATATTTAACATAACAGTATGACATTAAACAATACTGTGTACCGTATTTAAAAAACAGTATGACATTAAACAATACTGTGTACTATATTTAAAAAAAAACAGTATGACATTAAACAATACTGTGTACTATATTTAAAAAAAAACAGTATGACATTAAACAATACTGTGTACTATATTTAAAAAACAGTATGACATTAAACAATATTGTGTACCATATTTAATAAAACAGTATGACATTAAACAATACTGTGTAACATATTTAAAAAAACAGTATGACATTAAACAATACTGTGTACCATATCTAACAAAACAGCATGACATTTAAGGATACTGTGTACCACATTTAACATAATATTATGATATTAAACAAAACTATGTACCACAATTAACAAAACAGTACATCATTAAAAAAAACTATGTACAACATTGAACATATCAAGTTAAACAGAACTATGTTACAATTAACAAAACAGTATGACATTAAACTGAACTACATACTACAGTTAACAAAACAGTATGATACTAAATAGAATTATATGCCACAATTAACGAATCCTTATGACATTTAAACAGAACTGTATAGACCAGAATTACTATATTTACCAAAATTAACATAATAGAATTAAATAGAATTAAAGTAAAATTACCATTTTCATTAAAATAAAATTATTAATTTTATAAACATTAATTTTATAAATAATTTGATTTCTCAAATAACAATAATAAACCAAAGACACAGTCTGATGTTTTGATTTGATAAAAATATGACTTATAATTTAAAACATTCTTCCAAAAATATATATTGACCACTAAGTAACATTTGACAAACTACAATAAATAAATAAAAAATTAACAAACAATAAAATAATTAAAAAATATTTATATTTACCGATAAAAAAGCTTTGTGTTAGATATAACTGCCTGCTTGTAGTCATATCATAAAACAATATTTAATACAGATTACAGATTTTTTAATACAGATTACAGATTTTTTAATACAGATTACAGATTTTTTAATACAGATTACAGATTTTTTAATACAGATTACAGATTATTTAATACAAATTACAGATAAATATAGATTACACATAAATATAGATAACAGATAAACGCAGATTACAGTAAAAAACAAATTACAGATAAATACAAATTACAAATAAATACAGATGACAGTTAAACATAGATTACAGTTAAATACAAATTGGTTTAGGAAAAGCAGTGGAAATAAAATTTAAAAACTGATTATTATATTATGACAATTCAAACTTTTTTAAAGCGTTAAAAATAGCAAAATTCATCAAGCAACAAGTTCTTATCTTGCTGTTTTAGAAATTCATCAAGCAACAAGTTCTTTCTTTTTTCTTTTTTGCTGTTTTAGAAATTTCAGATTCTTATTTCATAATTAATTTTATAATTTTTGATAAAAAGTTTTTCATATTTTGAGAGATTTTTTGAAGTTAATTTTTTAAAATAAACTTTTTATTTTTTAAAGGTATCAAAAAAAAAAGTTATATTTTTTACTCTGAAGTTTTAATGTAAATAATTTTTTCATGTTGATGTAATTAATAATTGTATATTTATAACACTCTGTAAATATATGAGAATTCTTCTTATAAATTTATTAACTCAAATATAAGTAAACATTTTTTAAATATAAGTAAAATATTTAAATGAATTTTATTGTTATTTTTTTATTTCACTTATTTTGAATAAAATTTGACAGATAAAATTTGTATTTCTTGCTATCTTTATTTACCTATATGATGTATTGTGTTTATTTTATTGTACTTACTATTATGTATTTTACTATTATGCATTTTACCAATGTAAGAATACTTTCTCATAGATGAGTATTTGACTTTATAAAACTCCCGGAAAATTATTTTATTAAAAATTGATCGTATTAACTGAAAACAAAAACTTTCGTAAACTTTTAAAATGGAATTTAAATTATTTAACTTTTTATAAAAAGGAATTTCTAATATTCGAAAAAGTTAATTTGAATAAATTGAAAAGCAAAAAAAAAAAAAAAAAAAAATTGTTAGGAAAATTGATCTCGTGAAAATTATAACTATAGAAAACATATTTGTTTAAATGCAAATGTTGTCGTTTTTAAAATTTTATGTAAAAATTTATAAATTTTTAAAATAAATTAATAAAAAAAAACATCCAGAAATTTCTTTTGTTTAACTGGAAAATTAAGAGTTTTAAGTGAATTTCTGGAATTCCGGGAATTCCCGGAAAAAACTCATCTATGTTTCTATATACAGCTGACAAAATTTTATAAAAATTTTTAAAAATGCAAGGTGTTATAAATTCAAACCCTCTTTTATATTTCCTAGAGATATATCCCCCACCTCAAAAAAATTTTTTTTTTATGAATAAACGATAGATTATTTAGAATCTTTTAGATAAATCTTTTATAATTGTAACTTATTTCAAGTAAAAAGTTGCAAGTAACCTGTTGTTTCAAGTAAAAAGTTGCAAGCAACCTGTTGTTACAAGTAAAAAGTTGCAAGCAACCTGTTGTTGCAAATAAAAAGTTGCAAGCAACCTGTTGTTACAAGTAAAAAGTTGTAAGCAACCTGTTGTTGCAAATAAAAAGTTGCAAGCAGCCTGTTTTTACAAGTAAAAAGTTGCAAGCAACCTGTTGTTGCAATTAAAGTTGCAAGCAACCTATTGTTGCTTGCAAATACAAAGTGTTATAGAATTATCAAATTATCAGTGTAAGAAAATTACCAATAATAAATAATAGAACAATATGACTTAAAACATAAAAAGATTTACAAAACAATCTTCAAGACATAAAGATTAACAAGATATGAGAAAAAACTTATCTCATACTGTTATTAACTGAACATTCTTACTTAAGTTTGAGTCAGATTTCCAGAAGTCTGAATATATTAGATAACAACTATGACAGATAATACTACAGAATAATATAAAATTACAGAATATGATTAAAATAACAATCTCACACAACACAGATTATAAATTGCAATAACAGAGTTGAAACAAATTGCATAACACATATCAATTCTGTTAAAATCTGACATAGTATATACCACATAAGTAAAAAAGGTTTTTTATAACAAAAAAGTAGTACAAAAACCTGACAATGATTACATACTGACTAACAGATCTAAAAACAGATAAAAATACAGACTACAAAATTTTTGACAAAAACTACATTACATATTAATATTATTAGAACCACTTGATATGAAACAATTTGCTGCAGAAGTTAACAGAACAATCTGACAGTAAACAAATGATATTTTACAAGAAGACAAAAAAAAATGATTACATATATAGATCTAAGTGTAAAGCAATAGGACAAAAAAGAATACAAAATACAACCAACAAAACAATCTGACACTAAACAAATGATATACCATAATCAACAACTTGACATAAAACAAATCACATATCTTAGATTACAAAGAAATATATCACAAAAAAAATAACATAAAACAATTAATAGAATTCAGACAAATTAAATAAGAGCAAAAGGTGTTTTGCAATTAACAATTTGACATTAGATTTGACATAACAATATATATATATATATATATATATATATATATATATATATATATATATATATATATATATACTATTAACGAAATAATCTGAACTACATATATCTTACTAATGACATATTACAATTAAAAAATTAACAAAAAAAATCAAAACAAAAAACAGTTTACCTTGCTCAATTAAGAGAACAATTTGAAACAAACCCAGATTTAATAACCCAGTTAATGACAAAACAAATAAAAAACAAAACAAAACAATCTATCACTAAAGAAAATAAATCAATACACATAAGAAATCAATTTTAAAGATTTGCATAAAACAGGTTATATTGACAAAGTAAAATGACATTAAAAAGTTTTCAAAAAAATAAATACAAATAATAATTACTTAAACAATGTGACTTCAGGTACTGGCAGTACTCAAAGTGGAGAAAAAAAAGTAATGGGATGGTATTCGGTAATTTAAAAATACCATCCCGCCTAATCATTGTTATATATAGAGATTTATAAAAAAGTGGCGGGATGGTTTATAAAAAGTTGACAGGATGGCATCCTACCTCACTTCGAGCACTGGGTACTGGTAATAACTAAAAATATCTACTAAAATTAAAAAGATGACCTGAAATGAAATAGAATAACTACATCGATTCCAGGACAATATCTTAATTAAAAGAATCTGACTAAAAGTTAATTTTCATGCCAAATACAACAATTTAACACAAAACAGAAAAAACAAATAAACTTTAACAGACAAAATTAATAAAGTACTACAATTAACAAAACAATGATGCAAAATGGATTTTCTAAATAACCAGGCAAATAATAGACTGCATGAAGCAATTAATTGATCTATCAAACTAATCAAACTAACAAAATGATTCTGACAAAAAATTAGATACAACAAACAGATAATTTTGATTAAACATTAGATATGACAATTAACAGATTCTTGCTATATACTATACATATACATATATATATATATATATATATATATATATATATATATATATATATATATATATATATATATATATATACATATATATATATATATATATATATATATATATATATATATATATATATATATATATATATAACCATATACAATATGATTATATACAGCAATAAACATAACTAATATTAATTAACAAAACAGATCATCAAGTTAGAAACATCAATTGCATGTTAGAATTAAAGAAAATATCTGACAAAAAAAATGTACAACACTTACTAGAAAAATCCAATCGTAGATTTTGTTTGAATCTTAAAATAAATTTATGACAATTAACATTATAAACAATTTATACATAAGATATTAATTAAAAAAAGATTAACTAAATGAGTTGACAATCAGAATGATCAACAGAATAATCTCACATAAACAGTCTAGATAACATAATTTCAAACAGAACTATGCAAAACAATTAAAAAAACATGACATTAAACAAAACTATGTACCACAATTAACAAAACATGATATTAAACAAAACTATGTATCACAAATAACAAAACATGATATTAAACAAAACTATGGACCACATTTAACATAACAGTATGACATTAAACAGAAATATGCCACAATTAACATAAATGTATAATTTTAAAGATAATTATGCTACAATTAACAAAACAGTATGATATTAGACAAAACTATGTATCACAATTAACAAAATGACATTAAACAAAACTATGTACCACATTGAACATAAGAGTATGTTATGACATTAGCATAACATGACATTAAACAGAACCATATACGCCACAATAAACATAAATGCATAATTTTAAAGAGAACTATGTTACAATTAACAAAACAGTATGATATTAAACAAAACTATGAATCACAACTAACAAAACAGCACAACATTAATTAAAACTGTGTACCACATTTAACATAATAGTATGACATTGACAAGAACTATACATTACAATTAACAAAACAGTATGATATTAGACAAAACTATGCAACAACCAACAAATCCTTATGACATTAAACAGAATTATATAGACCAGAATATTTACCAAAATTAACATAACAGAATTAAATAGAACTATAACCTAAATGAACATTGTAACAAATTATTAATTTTATAAATGATTTAATTTCTCAGATAACAATTCTTATCTTGCTGTTTTAGAAATTTCAGATTTTGTAATTTTTGATAACATTTTCTTCTTAATTTGAGAGATTTTTTGAAGGGAAATTTTTAAAATAAACATTTTCTTTTTAAAGGTATATATTTAAAAAAGAAAAAATTTACTTTATAGTTTTGATGGAAATAATTTTTAATATGATGTTTTACATGATAACATTGATTACATTTTCACATGATTACAAATCAACAATTAAAATAATTGTATATTTAAAGTATTCAATTATTAAAAATTATTAGAGAAAATTTGTCTAACACCTTTTAGAGAATTGGACTAACTAAATAAATATGACATCCACAGTATACTTTATAGTATGACATCCACAGTATAAACCTTAAATTCAAATAAACTGTTAAAATACAATAAAATAATTCAAAACAGAACATCTATAATATTGTACGTGGAAAAGATCACGAAAAAAACAATATTTTGAGTTTACCTGTAACTTATGCAATAATATTTTTCTGTAAAAAAGAATACAAATTAACACTATGCCTGTAGTAACCCTAAGTTTATGAAGCAACAAGTTACTTCTGGGAATGAGGTAACTTTTGTCAGCCTCTAAAAATGTTAACATGTATAAATAAAGTGACTACACTGATATGCTGAAGATTATATCAGTAGAGATAAAATGTATCAGTAGAGATAAAATATATCAGTAGAGATAAAATATATCAGTAGAGATAAAATATATCAGTAGAGATAAAATATATCAGTAGAGATAAAATATATCAGTAGAGATAAAATATATCAGTAGAGATAAAATATATCAGTAGAGATAAAATATATCAGTAGAGATAAAATATATCAGTAGAGATAAAATATATCAGTAGAGATAAAATATATCAGTAGAGATAAAATATATCAGTAGAGATAAAATATATCAGTAGAGATAAAATATATCAGTAGAGATAAAATATATCAGTAGAGATAAAATATATCAGTAGAGATAAAATATATCAGTAGAGATAAAATATATCAGTAGAGATAAAATATATCAGTAGAGATAAAATATATCAGTAGAGATAAAATATATCAGTAGAGATAAAATATATCAGTAGAGATAAAATATATCAGTAGAGATAAAATATATCAGTAGAGATAAAATATATCAGTAGAGATAAAATATATCAGTAGAGATAAAATATATCAGTAGAGATAAAATATAAATATTAGATAAAACTTTGATTAAGCTCAAACATAAAAAAAATGTGATTACTTCATTATCTTTTGAAACATAATAAAAATGTGGTTATTTCATTATCTTTTAAAACATAATAAAACTGTGATTAATTCATCATCTTTACTTTGTTATCTTTTACAAAACTATGCTTTACTTAAAAATTTATCTTATCATAAACTTTATAATATCATCAATAAACTGTTTAACTTATTATATTTTTAACAACTCTATTAAAATAAAAGTTGTTAAAAGTGATTAAACTGTTCTTTTCATATAAGCTATAGAACAATATTATATATACTTAAATCTGAATGTATTATACTTATATGCTGGATATTCATTCAATTGTGTTGCTGCAAACATTACTTTTAACCTTTATTAATATTTTGACTGTATATGGTGGTTGAGTCATTTTGAACATTGTTTAACAATATTAAATGGTGGTGTATAAGTAAAGAGCGTACGAAATAATAATGGTGTATAAATTGTAGAATGTATGAAATGGTCGTGGAGTGAAATTACAAAACAATGCAAAAATAATAAAAATATAAAATTAATACTACAAAATATCTGAATAATTTTATTCCTAAAATAAAAACCTAATACAATAATAAATAGGATCTTAAATAATTTCATTTCTTTTTGGTTTTCTTACAAACTTTTTCTTTACTAGATTCGTTACTTTTTCCTTGAGTAGATGCTAAAGCTTTTTTTAGGTCTAAAAGTTTCTTAACTTCACCATCAATGATATCTTTATTTGCTTTTTCAGCCTTGACCTTTCTCACAATATTTCCCTATTAAAAAATTTAAATGGAATTAAATATCAAATTAGCATGTCTTATTAAACATTAAAACAATGACTTACTTGTTTGGTAATTTCTTCCTCCAACTCAGCGACAGTAAGCGTTTCTATCACTTGATCACTGACAACAATCTTCTCCCCAGAAGATTCAGACTTTACAGGATTTGTTGGCAAAACCTTAATAATTATATGGATAAAATTGCGGCAATGTAAAATTTAATATAGTAATAAGATGTCAAATAAAATTAAATAAATTATACTGTTGCATCTTTAATTCCAGAAAATCTCTTTTTGAGTTCATCTCCTAAAGATACTTCAATCTTCTGAAACAGTGGAGCTGGTGTACCAATCTTGTGACCCTCAGGAAGCATCGGAACAAAATTATCTGGCACAATAAGAAAATCTGATGGTAAGTCCAATTGTAACTGCAACTGTTTACTGACAAGAGGCATATAAGGCAAAATAAGCACTGCAATAAGAGCAGAAACATTGACTGCCAATCCTACAACTGTAGCAGCACGCATTCTAAAAAAACAACAACATCTATAATGACTGCAAATATACACTTTTACATATATACATACTTACTGCAATCGTTTCATCTCTATTTCATACATATGTACACTTGAATGATATTCGTTTATAGTTAAAATATTATAAGTATTTATTAAAAGAAACCTTTGATAAAACCTATATAATAACAAATATTTATTGTAATTTAAAAACAAATGAAGTTTTGATTTATTTCATACACTATAATTTATTTTTCTTTCCAAAGTTTATTTTTAACAATTTTAACTCAATTTTCAAAAAATTATTATATTGTTAAATAAAGATTCAATAAATAATTTATTAGGATTATCAAATTAAGCAGTATAAACTGGTATACTTACCCAGCCAGCACATCTAGTTTCACTTTTGGAATTAAAACCTGTATAGAAACTTGTTTGTAGAGATCCAGGCATAAACCAAAAACAAATTGATTTCACAGACAGTTTTAATCAACTTTAATACATGTTTCATAAGGTTTTAAAGCCAAATTTAAATGCTGGGTTCTTTTTTTACTACTTTGATATTTGTTATAAAAACTAACTATATTATGTTTATGAAACGATTATTAAAACTTTAAAGCAGTGAAACGATTATTAAAACTTATAAACTCCTAATTGTTGTTTCTGTAAATAGTAATTAGTTAATTTCACAGAATCGAAACCCTATTTTTCACACGTGTTACTCCTTTTGTTTTAAGGTTTTTTTATTTTTTTGAACACGCAACGGAAACCATGCATAACTTTTTATGAAGTTGTGCAGGCTGGGTATATAGTAAAAACCACTATTATAAGCATTTACCTTCCCAAGGCGAGAAAGCTACTACAACCAAGGAAGAAAAAGCTACTACAATCAAGGAAGAGAAAGCTACTACAATCAAGGAAGCTGCTTTAATTGTGGTTAAAACTGCCTATCACCTCTATAACTCCAAACACAAACCTTGACAAACAAGGTCGTTGCACGGAGAAACAAGTTGATCACAGTACTACCAGGGACATGGTGGGGATCCAACTTGGAACTTCTTGCTTATGAAGTAAATGCTCTATCACTACCACATTAATTTACAAGTTTTTAATTTACAAATTAAAAACTTATCAAACATTAATTTACCTCTATATAGTAATTACTGTATTTAGCAATATTAGTCAATTTTTAATGACTAAACCTGCCTTTAATGCCAGATCAAGGGCAACTGAGCTTATTTTAAAAACTTGAAAAAACATTTTTTTTCAATATTTTTTTTGATAACTTATACTTTTAGTTTTAAGTGCCCATAAAATATTTTTTCTAATCTGGTTACATGTATACAATATAATTGTGGAACAATTCAAACAATATAGAGTAAAATGGGGTCTAATGGAATAATTAAGGATTTTAATTAGTTATTTTTTATGGAAAAAAGATTTTTATTTTTATTATTTTTTTTAATTTGTAGAGAATATTGAGCTGTATTTAAATATATAAAAATCAAATAATTTTTTTTTATAGTTTTTTTTTAAAGTTTTTTATGAAACTTTATTTGATTAAAAAAAATATTTATTCCATTCTACAATGACATTCGGGGAGAATGAAATATGCAAATATATATGTAATTAAAACAACACTTATTTTTATTATTAAAAAAAAAAAAGCAATCAATAATAACAATTAAAAAATCAATAATAACAATTGAAAAATCAATCAAGTAAATTAAACTTTTTTTATTCTTATGATGTTGAGTTGTTTAGAGGTACTAAAGGTTGAGTTGAGTTTTCAGTTGTGCGGCACTTTTTGGCGCAATAAAAGCTCAGCGCCTTTTACGTATTGCTTTGGCATGCATGTTTAACATAGCCAAACTTTGCAATTTTACTTTTCACATTGGTACCATTCCATACTTTGACTTGCTGTGACTTTGCCTAAAACTTTTCAGCACTTTTTACACTTAAATTGGTTTGCAGCTAATATTTTCCTTGGACTTGTTGCATGGTTTATTTGCTGTACGCCATTAGAACTAAGCTTACTTGCTTTTTAGTGTGCTTTGCTGCTGTTTTGCTCTCAGCATCTTTCAACCTTTCAAGTATTTCAGGTTTGTTGAGACACTCCTCTTCGAATCTTGACATATCAACATTTTTTCTTTTATGTGTGTTGGTATGAAACATTTGTTGCAAAGCTGCTGCAAGTGATTGGGCTGATTGCAACTGTTTTTCAAACTCTTTTTGAATTTCCTTTTGAATAGCTAGAGTTACTACAATATTAAAGGTTGTTTGCAGACAGGGTCTGGACTTTTGAGGCAACTTTGAAGCTGATTCTATGTGACATATGCTAATGCTAGATGTTGGTGTAGATTCAGATGTAGATTCATTGGTGATGGAACTATCATAAATTCTGGTTCTTGAGATGACAAAAGCTCAGGTTCAGATTGATGTTGAATGGAAACTATTTGAGTACGTGTAAAAACTTCATCAGAGCTGAAAAGTTTTTTTTGCAGGTGACTAAAAAATTCTTTTAATAAGTTGCTGAACTTTATCTCTGCATAAAACTGTTAAAGTAATTTTTGACAAACTGTTTTGACAGAATATGTGACGAGTGAGCTGGTAAGCAAATTAACAAGATATTGTTTTTCGATGCAAATAAGTACAACCCAATAAGAGACATTTGTCACATGTTCATCTACAACTAAAATATGAATACCTAAAATTAGATTGATGTAATCGTTTGTGAATGTAAAATTAGATAAATATAATTAGATAACTAAAATTAGATTGAAATAATTACCTAGAATTTTCTTAATGGCAGGAACATACACGTTAGTGAGCCACTGCACAAACTGCAAATCTTCTATCCATCTGGGTGGAGATATAGCATACATGGCATCATCTGAACCACTTAAACACTAATCTCTGTACAGACAATTTTTTGATTTAAAAATAATGTATGAAGCAAGATGATTACTAGCAGCATTAATGCAATTTCCAACTGTATAATGGATTTTTTCATTGTTGCCAACCAATTTCAATGGTCATTTTGCACCACGCCAGCAAAATATATTTTGCTTACCTTAATCACCAGAGAAGCCAATTTCATCAAAATTACACAAATGACATGGAGTTTTTTTGTTGATACCTGCTATGTTGAATTCTCTTTGCAGTGTGTTGAAATACTTTGCTACTGTTACTTTCGTGCAAGAAGCGGCTCTGAGTGATGAAATATTGCCTAGGCTCTGATGCTCAATCTATGACTCCACTAGTTTATGAAAAGGTTGTGCCAATCTCTTCCTGGTGTACCATTCGAAAATTAGGAGATTGACCTTGGTTTTGCAAATAGTCAGTAACTAGTGTGATGACATTATTGTAAGTTTTACCAAAGCCCTATTTGAATAATTTGATTAGCGTACCAATTGTTTCACCTATAGCGTGCCAATTGTTTCACCTATGTTGTGGACACAACTGTTAAGAGTTGCTACTGGTATGCTAAATAACTTAACAGATTTGTTAAAATTCAATTAGTCAAAGTCATTCATTTAAATTTCATTTAAAATTTTTTTTCAATACAAAAAATTTAAAGCTGGAGATTTATTGGCCAATTGAGATTTAATTTAAAAAAAGCTGCATTTAAGAAGTGAGCTATTGCTTCACTTATTATTAGCGTATTTCATTTAACCCCTAATTCTCCTTTTCCATTTTTTACTCAACTTTTTTCCTAAATAGCAAATTTAATTTTGAAAAAAGATTCTTGATCAGCATAAAAAGTTATTCCTGAAAACTTTTTTAAGTTCAATGATATCAAATTTAACTTCCAAGAGTTTTAAGTTCATTTATCAAAATAAAAAAGAAATTATTATTACACATACAAAAACTTAAAAGTTTATAACAAATTTTTTTTCATCAAAAATAAAATTTGATATCAGAAAAGTCTACAACGTAATTTAAAAATATTTACAAAAAGATTATCCAATAACTAATCAAGAGCAAAAGAATAAACATTGTCATAACTATTTTATTCTAACCATTATTTAATTTTACCCTGTTTTACTCTATAACTAGTATATTTTTGATTTATTCACAACTATAATAAAATCATATCTCACTGTTCTTGCTCATCTCCTTTGATTAAAACCCATGGTTTATGAGCTTGCATGTATTGATTACCTAACCGGGACATATTAAGAATGCAACGCAAGCCATCTTTAAGTCTAAATAAAATAAAATTAGATTAATTTTATAGATATAAATATTAACCACAAACTACATAAATTTTTTAACAAGAACACAAATTTATAAATTAAATGTAAAAATCAGCTACAGTTGCATGTGAAGCATGAAGTCTAAACAAAAATCTAATCATCATAATAAAAAAAACTCAAACATCCATCAACTGCCTTAATAAAAACAATTGTCCTTTACACAATAACTGCTTGACCAGCAATATTGTATAGCAAGCAACTATCACTTGGATAACTTTTTAATACAAAAATCATACATTAGTATAAGTGAAACAACCTTTAAACTGAGATACAAATGAGCGATACAAAAGAAATATGGAAATTAAAAAACAATAATAAAAATGTGAAGAGTATAACCTGACAACAAAATTGTGCAAGTTATGCATTAACAAAATATATGAAATTAATTCAAACAATAATGACAGTTTATTAAATAAAAAAAAACTGAAATTGTATCAAAATGTTGACATAAAATAAATTCTGCTTTGTCAATTCGACAAAGGGTAAAATTAGATTAAGACATGTAATAGATTTTTTGACGTCAGATTCCATCACATTATTCAATTTGTATTTTTAATGGTTTTTAATTTCTTGATTTTTTTAAAAAAAAGGCTGATAATTGCTGCCAGGCATAAAACTCTGAATACCAACAAAACAGTTGTATTTTTTTCATTTCAATATTTATTAAACATATTTTTTTTTTTGTTCTCAAGGCCCAAGGGGGCCACTACAGTCAAGGAGGCTACTCATTTTTTTTTTTTTTTTTGAATTATTTTTTTATTTTTTGTTGTAAATCATGGTACAACCCTCTCTCAACTCTTTAGCTCCGAAACACAAACCTTGACAAGCAAGACTGCTGCGCGGAGAAATTAAGTTGAGCGCGGTACTTCCAGGGATGTGGTGGGAGTCGAACTCCGAACCTCTTGCTTACAAAGCGAGCGCTCTTACCACTACACCACATACCACATACCGCATATTGAATCTATTATAAAAGACATTTGTTTTCATAATACTGATCACTGTAAAATGATATACACATAAATACATGTTAAATGAACAAGATAATTTTTTGTACATTTTCATATGAATTAACATTATCAAAAATACATACACTCACAAATACATACACTCACAAAAAAAACATGAAGATGGGTAAGAGTTATTTCCAACAAGATTACAAGCAATCACTATTAAATAATGAGTTACTTTAAAATAGAGAACAAGTTAAAATGCTAGGAAATGTAAAACTGAAGACTTAAAAGGTTGTAAGATGTATAAAAAGGGAAAACATGAAGATGGGTAAGAGTTATAAGGCTTTTTTGATATTCAAGGAAAAAAACTGGATTAGATTAATAAAAGTTTTTTTAACATGAAAGGATAGATATAGTAAAAGAATGCAACTTGTTGAATAAAAAGCCAAGCAAGAATGAGTTTTGTTTTATCATAATAGAAATAATAGCTCGTTTGAACATTGACTATGATTGTATTTGTAGAAAAAAAGAAGGAAATACAATCTTACAATAATGGGAGAGTGGCTCAAGTAAGGCAGATAAAGCAGGTTAAACTATACTTATCACTTTGCAATGTCATCGCAAATGGCAGAGGCATTTATTTAACAGTGAAACAGTGAAAAAAGAGAAAAGGAAAAATGAAAAAAATTGTTTTAAAGAATAAAAAAGATAAGTTAAAAATAAAATAAAATAACAAAAATATTAAAAGGTATAAAGGAACTAAAGAAAAAGATTAAAGAAAAAATAAAACAAGAAAATGAAAAAAAAAAAGTAAAAAAAAACAAATAGATTTAACAAACTAAAAAAAAAAAACAATCAATTAAAAGCAAAGTAACAAGTTAAAAAAAATAATAATTTTCTGAAAAAATAATAAAAAGAACTAATTAAAACGTTAAAAAGTTTTTTCATATTAGAGTGTTTTTTCATATAGAGTGTTTTTATATAAATTTTGTCTTTTTATTTAACTTATTATAGTTTAATCATTAGTTTTTTATAATTAATTTAATTTATGCTTTTATTTATTAATACTTTTATTTATTAATGTTGTTGAATTTTTTGCTTGTTTGTTTATTTTATTTAGGTGTCACTCCAATGACTAGTTTTTAACTATGAGTAACAAATGAGGAAATATTGTAAAATTATAAAAAATTGTAATTATTAATTTTTAGTTAAATAAATATAACATTTACAATGTGCTTTTAGAATATGTCTGAGAGCAAAAGGGTTGTTATTTGTCAATATAGGAATGCCAACAATATTGCAATATTTTTTTACAGTAAATAAATGAGTTTTGTTGTCTAACAAAAATTGTGGATTTTAAGCCCAGAGTTTAAATCCATAAGCCATTGCAAGCTTTAGGCTGTTACAAAAGAGAGATCAGATTTAAAATCGACGGCTTGTTCTATGCAATTAAAAAGTGAAGATTTTTTGTCAAGACAAGAGTGGAAAGTTGTCAGCAAATAGAATTACTTTAGATTTCATGATAATTGTTATTGGACAGGAGCAAAGATGGATCCTTGTGGTACCCTTAAAGTTACTTGAAATAAAGAAGAAGGTAGACTTGCAGCAATAACTTAACTACTACAGTTAGAAAGAAATAATTTAATAACCCTAAAACCTTTATATAAACAAACTAATAGCAGAGTGAAGACTAATCATAGGATAGTTAGAGAGGTCAAACTGTTTTCTAGAGTTTTGAAAAATTGAAACCACTTATTTACCATTTTTTAAAAGTTTAGCAAAAATTGTAGAGAGTTCTGCAGAACACTTTTTTTAAGACTATGATGAAAATCTATTCTGGAGCACAAACTGTAGTAGTGTTTAATTAAGAATTAACGATAGCATAGAAATCCTGAGTGATTTTGATGTTTAACAATGGGGTTTATCTGTTTGACTATTAGGAAGTATGGCTATTATATTCAAGAGTCAGGTTAGAATAAGATTTTTTTGCAAATAACTCAGCATTATTCTAGAGAGAAGTAAAAAGATCAGACCCATTAATTAGAGATTAAATGTTAGACTTAATTTAGTTAATGACATTGTTGAAGGTTAACCAAAAGTCTCTAGAACCTAACATTTGAGAAAAGGTACAAGATTTAGTAAAATAAGAATAACAGAGCTTAACACCAGACAAGACTTTTTTACATTGACTTCTTGCAATAATAAAACGACATTTGTTCTTAAGAGATGTTCTTGTAAAAAAGATGAAAAAAAAAAAGATTAATGTTTAATAAAGCAACTGCTCAAGATGGTGACGAATGTAGACAAATGAGGCTTGACTTAAAATTGAGTAGAAGTAATAAAAGCTTACAAACTTTTATTCTAGAAGGAATAAAGACTTCCAAGATGCACTTTGTGCATACATACAGAGTGTTACCCAGCCTGATGGCACCGCGTATAATGCGGTATTCCCAATTGGTTTAAAATTCCTAAAGGTTTATAAGATCGTAGTAAAAAAAAAATAAATTAAGCCAGTCTCAGATTTAAAGCGTCGCACTAGACTAGTAAAAATTAGTATGCATGACAAAAAAATGAATTAAATTGATCGATTTTTTTTAATGTGTAAAAACGTGTCGTCATTAACAAGCGTCATTAACCTTAACAAGATCATTCATTCAAAAGTTTAAAAAATTTTAAAAAATTTTTTTATTGACGTCACTTATTCTTGAGTTCAGATTTTTCTTATTTATTTATTTTTTTAATTGCGCTTTTCTCGAAATACATAATTAAGGGGTTTTAAAAAACGGCTGCAGTATATCAAAAACAAAGTAAAGAAGCGATTTAAATGAAAATTTTAGAAGATTGCTCATAATGAAACAAGTTGATTAATCAAAATTAAACATATATAAAGTAGAAAAATAATCCTGCTGTAAATGTTCCTGCTGTAAACTCCCAGCAAAAATAGAAAATTTATTTTGATTAAAATTTAATTGCAGAATGTAAGGACTTTTTTTTTTTTAGCCGCACCTAAATTCTCAATTTTGCAAAAATGCTGTATGAAATTTTTTCCTGGGTAACACCCTGACATATTATGTATATAAACATTTATGTTTTCTATTTATTTAGATGCTGGTATAAAATATCCTTTCATTGTTATATTAACTTTGATATTTATATGGTTTAGTATTTGCAGAAAGAGAAGATGATCAAATGGATGTGTGATGTGACTCTAGCAAGACAAGAAAAGGAGGCATAATCTTAGATTAGAAAAAACGTTGTATCGAAAAAAGTTTGTTAGAAAAGATTAAAGTAATTTAGGTATCAGCATGTAGATAGGTAGCAGCTTCAGTAGAAAATGGTAGTGATAGAAGTTAGAAAACTTAAAGAGAGGGCCTTACATATTGTATGAATGAGCTTTAGTTAAGAAAAAAAAAATGCTCTAGATTGTTTATATAAGAGAAACAACATAAAAGAGGAAGGCTAAAGCCTGATGATCATCATCATGATCATGATCACCATCATGATCATCATGATTATCATCATCAGGCTTTAGCCTTCCTTTTTTTTGCTGTTGATGATGATGATGATAATAATGATGATTATGATGATCATGTTGATCATAATGATGTTTATATATGCATATATATACAAAAATGTATATATATGCATATATATATTTGTATATATATGCATATAAATATACAAAATATAACATAAATTTTGAAAAAAAAAAACAAAAAAATTTTAGGATGTCTATATATTGATGTCTATTTATGCAGCCCTGGTCACAAACCCGGCCCAGGCTATATTTATCAAACTCCGCCCATGGTCAAATATTAACCCCAGTCACTTACTAGTCAGATAAACATGAACACAGGAGAGAATTTGAAAACAAAAATGTGTAAGAAAAAAACTTTTTAAAAGTTTTAAAAAGATATAGTAATAATAACAGTAAAAAGAATCTGCTGAATGAAAAGTCACGCAAGATTGAATTGGTTGATGGAACAACTGATAACTTGCTTGAGCAGCAACCATGGTTGTAAAAAAAAAATGCTCCTTTTTTTACAATAATAGTTTGCAATAAAAAAGAAAACTATAAATACTAAAATGTCTTAGCAAGATACTTTTTCATCAAAAAAATTTATAAAATCTAAAATAAAATCCATCTTCTGAAATAATTGCTTATAAAAATAAATTGACACATCAAAGTTCATCATTGAATATATAAATATTACCTAACCTTGTTATTTTGCAAAAATGAACATGCATAATGAGCATAAAAATTAAATTTACAAATTTCTTACAAAAAGACTTAAAGTCATAAAGAACAAAAATTTTATAACTAACTCAAATAGATTTATATAAATAAATTCATAATTTATTGTGTATTTTTAATTGTTTTAATGTATTTCTCAAAGCTTTTTTATAAAAATTTTTAATACCATTTGTCATTTGATTTAACATTTTTTTTACATAACAATGTAAAATGTTTTTAAAATTACCTTAAATTAATCAGCGTTATAGTGGCCAAATAAAAATTGTAAATGCTGTAAATTGCAAATGCATGTATATATATAGATACACACACAAATCATAAAAATAAAATTAGGCAACTTTAAACATATATACATACTTAATTGCATCTAAATGCTCTATATATTGATGCAAATCTCTGTTTATACCAGCAATCAACTTATAATCTTCACACTGAAGCTGTAAATTAGGTAATGTGGAGTTAAAGCTATTCTTCAGGAACATCAGTGCTCTAGTAAAAAAATATTATATTTATTTTTTATTTTCAAATACATTTTAATTTATAAAAATAGAATCTTCATTTCTTTTAAAATCTTTCTCTTAATTATTTAAAAATAAATATTTAAATAATAGCAATGAAATACAAATAATGAACAAAATATAATAAATAAAATTGGATATTATATACCAAATTATAATTTGTTGATTACAAAAACAAATATAAGAAATGAATATCATGAGAAATTGAGAATTAATAACCTGTTGACAAAATTTCCCAGATTATTTAGAAGTTCTGAGTTGTTTTTTGTTATAAAATCATCCCATTGAAAAAAACTATCCTAAAATAAGAAGAAAAATATATATATATATTAATATATAATATATTATATAATATATTAATTGATGAATGAATGAAATGAATAACAAACTTTAAATATAAACAAAAAATAAATATAAAAAGTTTTACTTGAAACAAAAATAATTCAATAAAAAATGTTTATTCTATTGGAAAGAATTTAAAATTTATAATTTTTTAAAAAACTAGAACAAGATTTCTTTTTCAATTAAACGTGTACGCCATAACCCTAACATTAAAATGCCTAAACTGAAAATGCTAATAGCTAAAATGAAATAGCTTGCTGAAATAGTTCTCAATAATTTAATAGGTAAATAAAATAAGTAAATGCACAGATAAAACTTTTTCACAAACTATGTATTACCTGACTTTCAGGTCTTATGTAAAGCAAATAAAACCGAAACATATCAGCAGGGATCCCTGTGCTTTCAGCATGATCTCCAAAAACACCAACTCCTCTGCTTTTTGAAAATTTATCATTTTCATAGTTCAGATATTCAGTAGCACTTATTTCATTTAAAATAGTGTAATTATCTTTTGCAGCAAGCAAAGAAGATGGGAAAACAACAGTATGAAAAGGTACATTATCTTTAGCCATAAATTGAACTAAAGTAACCTGAAAAATCATTCAAAAATATATTTACTTTGATTTTTAAATTATAAAAAAATTTAAAGATTAAAGTTGAAATGAGGATATAATTTAAAAAACCTGCTCAGGATTTTTCCACCATTTTTCCCATTGATCTGTATAATTGGCTGTAATAGAGATATACCTGCAAAAAAATATTCTTAAATTTGTGTTTATTGAGCTAAACAATCAAAAACAAATCATTTGTGTTTGCAAAATAATCCAAAAAAGTTATTTAAAATTTATTAAAACATTAACTTAAAAACAAGTTTTTTTTTATCTTAATTTTGTTAACATAATTATCTCTATTTTGTTCTTAATTATCTCCATTTATATCTCATCTATATATATAGATACATTTATGGTTCTACTAAAACTAAAAAAAAACTTATAAAAGTTCATGAGAAAGTTTTGTTTTTCTACACTCTTGAAATGTTTTTTCCCTGAAAAATAAAAAAATGATAATTTTTTTTTAAGCTGTGTGACTTTCCTGCTGCTGATGCCATTGAAACAAAGTGATTAAGTCAAATAGCTGTCTCAAGGAAGATATTGATTTTTCATGAGTTTAAAGATCAAATAGAAAGATGTACTTGGGAGCAGGAACTGACAAGAGGTATTTACAGAGTATAAAGAGAAAACAAATCAGAAATAAACAACGACAAATTCAGGAAAATCTGGGGTAAAAAAAATAAAAAAGAGTGTATATCTGATTCTTCATCAAAAAAATGATAAAGAAGATTCATAACTTTAAAAACTTGATTTTCATAGTTCAAGAATCTGTAAACCAAGTGGGATATAGTTGATAAGGCAACTAAATAAGCTTTTGCTCCATTAAAAGTTCAAGAACAATCCTTGACAATGAAGAAGAATTATGTGTACAACTTTATCCTAGATTGATATATTAAACAAGGTAAAGTAAAAATAAAAGTGACTACCTTGAGGTTTGAACAAATGACAGAAATTTTATATGGAGAAAGGGCACTGGGCAAATTTGCTATCTACATACCTCGAGTATGTAGAAAGCAAATTTGCTTTCTACATACTCGAGTAGTGCTAAACTTGAGAGGTTTGTCTGGACAATTAATTATGCAGCTTGTAGAACAACATCAAAATTTGTGTGGTGATTTCAAGAAAGAACTAATATTTAAGGAATAAAATCTCTTTACATTCTTCTGAACAATTTGTTAACATTTGATTTAAAACGGTGGTTTGAATCGAACATTAACAAAAAAAGTATAAAAAGATTAAAAAAAACTTAGATTTTTCTTTAAACTGATAGAATGCTTAAACCAAAATCCTTAGTTGATGTATGTATACTCCCTGCATGTTCTACCTATTTTAGCCAGCTGATGTATGTTCATTCCCTGCATTTCTACCTATTTAAGTCAATTAACGCTGTGCCTCTAGAAATACTGAGAACAACCTATTTATCTGCACAGAAGCATATTTTAACAAGTAATAAATCATGATATATGAACTTTTTTTTTTTAATTACATTTTTTATGATAAATTTAATTTTTTTTTTTTTTAATTCTGATTTACTTCCAACTTGGCTGCAAGCAACCACTATTAAGTTGGGAGTTAATAGAAAAAAAATATAGTTATAGATCATTATACTAGAATTAACAAATCAAAACATAAACAGGTTTTTATTTTCTTATTAAAAATTATTATGCATACTAAACATTTTTTTTTAATTTTCTTATTAATAATACATTCAATAATAGTTCTTGATATTTTAAATTTTACTGATGTTCTGTAAGTCATTAAGCCAATCACTGTTTTAATTTGTTTTTATCAAAAATTTATTTCAAATACTTTCACACTTGTTTCTTTTTTTTAATTTTGTTTTATTTTAATTAATTATTTAACAATTTATACTAAAATAAACTTTTAGGATAAAACCAAACATACCCAATAGGTGCATCAAACCAAACATAAAAAACTTTATCAGTGTAGCCTTCCATTGGAACAGGTGTTCCCCATTTTAGATCTCGTGTTATGCAGCGAGGTTTAAGGCCTTCCGCTATCCAGCCTCTAGTTATATTTTTTGCATTGACTGTCCAATTAGCTTAGAAAAAAATGTTGTTTAAAAAGAATTTTTATATATATATATTTTTTCTTATGATTTTGATACTTTATTTATAATTTTTAACTATTTTTAAAAAATGACAATAATGATGCTGAAAATTAAAAAGTTCTTTCTTATCAATGCCACCTTTTTCAGATTTCATAATCCAATCTTTCAACATTGGTTCAATCTAAGAAATAATGACAAAACTTTAATTTTACTAGTAACTAATAGTACACATACTTCTACCAGTGCCGAAAAATATTATTTACTTAAATAAAATCATGATTTAAAATAAATAAAAACACTTTAAAAAACACTTTTGCACAACTTTCTATCATTATTTTATCTCTATTATAAATTTTTTATCTATATAACTCTTGCAAACATCATACCTTTGGGAGGTCAAGAAAAATATGATCTGAAGATTTTATTACTGGAGATGATCCACATTGTTTACATCTTGGCTTCTGTAAAAATGATTGTTTATTATAAATAATAACTTATTATTTATTTTATTTTATCTCATTATAATTGTTAATGTTTATTATTTATATTATATTTAATCGAGTGATTATCTTGGTCATATTTTAAAAATCCAGAAAACATTTTTCAAAAAATATCTGAATAAAATCTAGTATATATTTTTATTTATTTTGTACATTTTACTTTCTTAAAGTGATTTCCAAGTAGAATAAACATATTATTTTATGTGAAAACAAATTAAGCTTGATCTATATATTTTCTTATTGCACTGTAACTGAAAGTCATTATAATAACAATACAGTCACCAAAATGACTCAAAACTACTTTTATTGTAATTATTGAAAATTTATTTATTGAACAAATTTTGACAGATAATAGTTACATTTAAATTTGTCTAGTTAGGTTACATTTACTTATATATATATATATATATATATATATATATATATATATATATATATATATATATATATATATATATATATATATATATATATATATATATATATATATATATATATATATATATATATATTATACATTATATTATATTTATTTGACACTATTTTATCTTATGTTTATACATTATTACATTATTATATTTTATTATACATGACTACAATTTTTATACATTATTACATTTTATTAAACATTGAATTATTTATTATACGTTATATTATATATTATATTATATTATACAATACATTATAAATGTATTCATTATTCATTATTTATACATATATTTATACAAAGTAACATTTAAATTTATATAGTTATTAGTAATTAATTTTTAAATTTCTGATTATAAGTATATGACGTATTAATAATATAAATATTGTAAGGTAATCAAATAAATGAACTTTTGTTAAGAAATTGATAAAAAAAAGTTTATTTTTTAATCAAATGTATGTAACTTACAATTGTTTAAATGTAAATGTAACTTACAATTGTTTAAACTTGGTAACATACATTGAACTTATTTTTTTTTATTTTAAAATAAAATATGTTTATGGTATGACAGGGCCCTTTAAAACAGCCCACCATGGGCTTGAAGATGCTGTTTTTAAAAAAGTTTTATATGCAAATTTCTTGACAGTCAAATAATGCCGCAAATAAAATATAACACTAAAATAATAATAAGATTTTACAACCAATTTAAACTTTGGAAGAAATTTTTACCTTTAAACCCTTAAACTTTGGAAGAAATTTTTTGATTTACACTGAGCTTTATTGTTGTCAAAAGAAGGAATATAATGTTTTGTTTTTTATAAAACATTTCATAAATGAAAATATTGACATTGCTTATTAACTAACATTAACAATTGAAATAAAAATCTAATAAGAATCATACATTATAATGCACTGCAAAACATGAAATATGCTACATGGTGCTTTTTCAAACAAATATTCTCTTGAAACTAAACACCCTATTTCTCTTTTGAAACTAACTCTATATATATTTTTTTAACTTTTTAGATTTCTATAAAAAAAAAAAAAAGTTGAAAGAAATATCCAGAATTTTGGATATCTGTAAAAAAAATATTCCTGAATTAGTATTAACATTGTTTATAAAATATTTATAAATACAAATCAAAACCTTAAGCTCAGTAGCATTGATAAGTTTTCCACATGCATCACATTGATCACCACGAGCATCCTTTAACAAATGAATAGTTATATATATAAATAAACAAACTAGTGTGTGTGTGTGTGTGTGTGTGTGTGTGTGTGTGTGTGTGTGTGTGTGTGTGTGTGTGTGTGTAATAACTAACAGCAAAAAGATTCTTACTTCATATGAGCAAAAGGGGCAAATACCTTCGACAAAACGATCTGCCAAAAATCTTTAAAAAAATTAAAATTAATTGTTCAAAAAATGAGAAACTTAGAGTGAAAAACATAAAGAAAAAAACAATAACAGAAATAATAGTAAATTAAAATAAAGAACTAAAGAAACAAAAAGCTAGCTTGTGATTTATAATTACATTATCAGCCATCGAAACTAGGGTCGGCATTCGAGAAAGCTGACCAAAAAAAGTGTTTGAGGTCGACAAAAAATTGCCGATCTTGTTTCTATGGTGAAATCTTTGTATCAAATATTTTTGCTAACCTGATGCCAACCTTTAACAGATTAAGATTGACAAAATATTGCCAACTTCATTTTTACTAATTCCAAGGGCTGCATTATAATACTTCATAAGTATTTCCATAAAATAAAAATATTTTAATTATGCAAACAAATTTATACAAACATAATTTTAAAAACAGATACTAAAAAATATTTTATTAAATATAGCCATTATCTTATTATTAGAGCTATCAAGGAGGCAGCCTTTTTTTACCCCATGCAATATTTGAATAATTTAGATGGCATTGAATAAGTGAGTAATAAAGTTGAACTAATGCGTGTTTATTTACAAAACTTCTCGCTTGTGTCTTTTGCTTTATTCTTACAATTTTAGAATAACTCAGAAAATACTAAAAATCTATACTTGGCTTTATCAATAACAATATCAATAACAAAAGCAGTATTAACAGCCTGCAAACAGTCCCTCTATATTTTGTCCCACTTAATACAAATCTCAACATTAGCTGGAGATAATCTACATAAGGATGTCAAGTTCAGTTGTTTGAGTGCTCCAATTTGGCATGGTAGAATGCTCCAATTTGCCACAAATTGCATAATACAGAGGATTTATATCAGGATTAAAGCCGAAAATTTGCAAAACTATGTTTTCAGAATTTCTGCACTATTTTAGCAGTATGAGACAGAGCACCACCCTTGGTACACAAATAATTTCTCTTCGGTTATACTTTTATTAAAAAGATTCCTTATCTTATTTTAGTCTAGATTAGATCACAAATAGCAGAGAACCTTGATTCAGAGCTGAAAACTATAACAAGGTATTTATAAACAAAATCATAACTTTCTATTATTTAACTGATAAAATTTTAGAGAAAATTTTGTGTTATGAAAAATGAAATTTTTGAAAAATCAATATTTCATAATAATATTTATAAATATATATACTTCATAATAATATAGATAAATCAATATTTCAAAATAAATCAAGATTTATGCAAGAATATCATTTAGAAGTAGCTAGAGGAGTAGAAGTAGGTTGAAGAGCAGGAGTAGGATATATATTTATTTTCTAGAAGTTATTTTCCTCAATTTGGTTTGATTAAGTTTATTTACTAATAAAAAAAATATATAAAAAACTTGAAAAAATTAAAATAAAAGGCACTAAAAATAAAATACAAGTTTTGACAATTTTTTTTAAAAACCTTTAAAAATAATAATAACATATTAAGTATTAAATAATAAGTTAACAAAAAATATCATATTATCGGTGTTGTTAAACGCACAATAAAATATATTCTATGAGATAAGATATATTTCAACAAAACTTAAAAATTCTTTTAAAAACTTTTAAAAGTATTTTTAATATGCAAACAAACATTATTTCACTTTAAGGGAAATAAGAAAATTTTTTAAAAAAGCATGTTATCAAAGAAAGCAATCATAATATTTAAGGTTTCTTTAAAGTAATTGAAAATGCATTCAGATAAAATTTTTCATGCTTTTGTTAACACATGCAAAAACCATGCTAAAAAACAAATACTTTATTAAATAACCTGGTTATTTTACTTAAAAGTAATGCTATTGAAGTAATCTTTTTTTTAAGTCTTTAAAAATGTGTTTTATATTTTGGTAACTAATTGCTTTTTTTATTATAAATTTGTGTTTTTTATAATAAATTAAAAACTATCAATTGCATAACTATTTTGAAAAAAAATTGCTGAAGTAATGCACTCATTTTGAAAAATTTTAGGCAAATGTCAATGTTTGCCTTTAGCAACACTGCCTAAAATTTAGGCACACTGCCTAAATGAAACTGAACCTCTTTTGGATTAAAATTAAAACTTTTTAGCTTAAAATTAAAAAAATATATTTTGGTTGTCTTTTCAGTAACTATTTTTTTTTAAGCTGTTGTTACATTATGTTTTTCATTATTTCAATAGAAGCTTTTTTAAGGTTGTTTATATAGAGCATTTGAGAGTTTCTTATTGTTTGATTAGCTATTATGTATAATATTATATTATATATAATAGCTATTATATATAATATTATATATAATATATAAATTATATACAGCATGTTTTATAATAATAGATAATCATATATATAATATATATAATAATAATATATATTATATATATAATTACATATATAATTATATATATTATATATATAATTATATATATTACATATATATTAGATATATATTTATATATATAATATATATATAATTATATATATTATATATATAATCATATATATAATTATATATATTATATATATAATTATATATATAATATATATATAATAAGCTATTATTGGCTATTGAGTTTTAAAAACTTAATAATCTAAACAATTCAGTTTTATTAGCAAAATGGTTATCCATAACTGTTATCCATGCTATAGGAATTATGATAATGGATTAGTTATCAATATTAAAAGGAACACTCTAGATAACTGTTGGGTGGTACTTTACAATCAGTGGCTGTAATCAATCAAAGAAATATCAAGCCCACATTATTGTTGAAGCTTGCATGTCTGTAAAGGCTGTTATATAGAGGAGCCAAACAAGTGGTTTTGTTAAACAAATAAATAAATTTGATAATAATCAAACTCATTCTTTTACAGTATCAGACAAAACATCGTGGACAAACTCAAATTTAAAACAAAAGTTGATCATAAACTAAAAAAAAAAAATAGTAAAACAATTGAACATATTAATTTTTAAGTAGTTTACTATATTGTTAACAAAATTTAAAACTTTTGAATCATACTAAAAATCAAAAAAAATTTTACAACACATTTTCTTTAACAAACTACATTTTTCTTTCGACAAAACAAGGTGGACATTCAAAAAATCGACTGAAAATTCAAAAATTTTTAAAAACTAACTTTCTCAAAAAAAAAACTAATTTTTTGAAAAACTTAAAAAATTAACTTAATATTTAGTAGGACCTCCTTTACTTTCAATTACTGCTTTCATTCATTCAATTGAGTCAACAATTCTCTTATCAATCTCTCGCCAGGCCTTCTCGATTTGTTCAAAAAATTCCTCACTGGTCTTTACATTTGTACCCTCAATCTTATTGTCAATTATTTCCCAGAAATTTTCTATGGGATTCAAGTGAGGGCTTTGTGCAGGCCACTCCATTAGGGTGATATTCTTGTCCTTGAACCTTCGCTTTACAATTTTTGACATATTTTTGGGGTCATTGTCCTATTGAAAAATACATTATAGGGGCATCTCCCATTCAGCATGTGGTAACATGACATCTTCCATTACATCGTTGTACTCAAAGCGGTCCATAATTCCATTAATTTTGTGAATAAAACCAATTCCTATTGGTGAAAAACATCCCCAAACCATAGCAGACGCCTTATGCTTAACACTCTTCTTGGTATATTTAGTATTGTATCTAGTGTTCTTTAGTCTCCAGACTCACTTCTTGCCGTCGCTTCCAAAAAGGTTATATTTTGATTCATCACTAAAAAAGTATGTTTTTCTTTGTTGCACAGTGCAATTGGAGATTTGTAGTTCAAGTTTTTCGGTTAATTTTGTGGATGACAAAAATCTGGATCTTTTTTAAGCTCTTTAACAATTCTTTGATCTAGCCTTTGTGATGTTTTTCTTGGACGTCTGCCCTGATGGTTTGTTTTATAGCAGTCACGAGATCCAGATGATTTGACAGTTTTGCTTACAGTCGATTTATCTATATTATATTTTCTACTAATTTCAGCTTGACGTTTTGCGCTTTTAAAATCTTCAATAATATTATCACGTAAAAAATTGCATTTAAAATGACTTCCTAATTTATCGTAAGTCATTTTAAATTGCAATTTTTTATAAGTTAAATCTATTTTTAGTTTAATTGAAAAAAAAATTGGGCAGATGATCCAAAATCTATTTTATTATTTTAGAGTACTGTTATGACAAAAGTGAAAACAAAAGAATATGGTAAATTGAAAAGACAATGAAATCTTATAAAAAAGGCATCGTTTTGATTTGTCCACCTTGTTTTGTCCAAAGAAAAATGTTGTTTGTTGAGGAAAATGTGTTATAAATTTGTTTTGTGATTTTAGTATGATTCAAACATTTTAAAATTTCTTAAGAACTTTTTAAATATGTACTTTTATTTTTAGTTTTTGATTTTAACTTTCAACTTGTATTCCTAATTTGAGTTTGTCCGCCATGTTTTGTCTAATACTGTAATTCAAACCTTTTTTTTTGTTGCTATTGAGTTTTTATTTTTTTTAATTTATCTTTTTTTTTTCTTCCAATCTTTTCATTTAAAAACACTTTCTCTTTTATTTTCCTTTTTCCTTTTCCTTTTTTCATTTTTACCTTTTTTTCTTTATGGTTATTTAAATTTTTGTTTATTTTATTATTTTTATTTTGAAGTTTTGCTTTTATATAATATTTTTATAATGTAAAAAAAAGTTTATTATACGCAAAAGGTTTTTAATTTTTATTTTAAATTTTAAACTTTTTAAAAAACTTTAAAATTTTTATAACAAACTTTTGGTAAAGTATGTGTTTTAAACAGTTTATTACAAGATAACACTGACATCATTTAATCAGTGAAAACCAGAAATTAAATTTGCTGCAGAGTCTTGAACTGGCATAGCAGCAAGCCTTTTTACAAAAAAAAAAAAAAAAAAACATTGCATGGTTTACTCAAACTTCTGGTTCTATATTGGCTAACAACACATATAGTGTAACTCCTAGCTTTATACACTTAGTTTATATTTGCATAATGAGACATCCATGATACCCAAAAACGTTGTTAATCCAACTAATAAAAACAACTTGTAAAAAGATGTTAGCAACAACAAACAGAAAAGTCATTCTTTTGTGAAATTTGAGAATTCTTTAAATGGCTACTAAAAATTGGTAGTGAAATAAAACTGTCAAAAATCTTTTTAAAAGATCTATTGAAATACCACATCAATGCATTATTAGAGAAACTTATTATGAACAAGAAGATTATGTTAAACACTAAGGCGTTGAGGAGTTACATATAACAGTCACATGCTTGGCCTGGGCATTTACATTCATAAAAATTCACCCATTTGACAAGAAACTAGGTTTAAATCCACAAACTATTCTTTCGTGCATTTGTTTAGAACCACTTCACTCTACTAGCGTTCTATTTGTTTGATATTGTTCTCCTTCATCTTAAGACTGCACACTTTTTGATGAAATTTCTGAACAAATTGACCAATCCCTTACTCTTTATCCTTCAGCCAATATGGGTGTTGTTGGTGACTTTAATATTCATCACACTAAATAGTTTGGCTCAAGTGTCTCTTTCAAGAAAATCTGAATCATTTAACTTTTCTACTCAACTTATGTTTTGTTTCTGATACTAGTCAGTGCGAAATTTCTTCAGATTCACCCTTAGGTGCTTCTGATCATTGTGATCTCTCTAAAACTATTATTTCATTCTTCTTCATCGTCAGAATCCCCCTATCATTGTACCTATTACAACTACCTTAAAGCTGACTGGGACTCTTTATGAGACTTTGTTCAGAATGGCTTTTTAGGAATAAATCTTTCATCGCCATGCTGACAAATAGGCTATTTATGTAACTTCTTGGATACAGTTTGGTATGGAATCTTTTATTCCCTTTTGATAATGCTGGGTCAAGGATCACTATCTTTTACCTCTCATTGTGATGCTACAATTTTCAATCGTAACAATTACTTCCATATCTATTGCCAAAATAATAATCCAAAAAACTATTGCTGGAAACCATTGTTAAAAGGTTTTGTCTATTGCCAAAATCCACTATTCTCAGGTCACAAAATATTGTATTTTATCTCAAAAATTCAGCTCCACAAACTTCTGGAAAATCTTTAACAGTATCTATAATAATGGGAAATCTTTTTTTCCTCCTCTCTCACATGGTTCAGATTTTGTTATCTCACCATAAGACAAAGCTGAATAGTTTAGACAACACACCTGTTATAGCTTTGCAGAAGTGTTCTCCGGAACTGTCATCTATACTTTCTAAACTATTTAACAAGTGCTTATCAGAGTCTTATCTTTAAGCCTGCTGGAAAGCGGCAATTATTATTTCTATTTTCAATAACTTTGAAGAGCGATCTGACTTGTCGAACTACCATCCCATTAGACTTTTTCGTATCATAAACAAGTTTTTTGAGTCTTTAACAAACAAACACTTAATCTCTCATCTTGAATCTAATATCTTTCTGGTCATTAATATGGATTTCTATCTTCTCCTTCTACTGCTGTTTTGTTAACAGTAATAACTGATAGGTTTTATTGTGCATTAAATATATAAATACATACATACGTGCATTAAATAAATGCATACATACATACATACATACATACATACATACATACATACATACATACATACATACATACATACATACATACATACATACATACTAACATACATACATACATACATACATACATAAATACATACATACATACATACATACATACATACATACATACATACATACATACATACATACATACATACATACATACATACATGCATGCATGCATGCATGCATACATAAATACATATATACTTACATATGAAGAATGTTATGAAATATAATTACTTAGATATAAAATACTATTTCAATATTAAAATATTGAAATGAACAAACAAAAATAAATGAAAACTAAAAATTTAATAATTGAAAAACTGATTAAAGGTAATAGGTACAACAGTTCAATTTTATGATGTTTAAAAAAACATGTTTAAAAAAAAATCTATTTAAACATTTTCCCCTATTTTTAAAATTTATTTTTTACAAAAAAAAAAAAAAATCAAAAAAAATCAAAAAAAACTGCTATAAAAGCTCAAAAAAGGAGGAAAAAGAAAAATTGAAAGAAATTAACTTCAAAACTAAATAACTTAAAAGGAGAAAAAAAATTTATTTCAACATTCCTACTTTTTTAAAAACATTCACCTTTCGCATTGTTCACATTTTAGTTGATCAACTGCATCTTTACATAAGTAGCCATTTTTTTCAATTTTCCAAAAAATATCCTGAGTTATCCTAAATTAAAAAAAAAATTATTTCTTTCTTATTCAAATGATGAAAACTGAAGAATTTCAAAAAAATTTTACTTTGTTTGGTGTTCTGTTGTTGTTCTTCCAAAACAATCAAACTCAATATTAAACCATGTGTAAATTTCACTATGAATTTTGTTATATTTATCACAAATTTGTTGAGGTGTTAGTCCTTCTGAAAAAGCCTTAAAAAAAATAATCAGAAAAATGTTGATCTCTTATGAAATGTCATCAAACTGTTTGCAACAAACTAAAAACGAAGGTTTTTTCAATCAAAGTAAAAGTAAAATACTGTGCACAATTTAAAACATCTTGTTGCAAAATAAAAATCAAAAATAAATAAAATTAAAAAAATATCAAAATAGACTAAAATATTACTTTTGTTTCTGTAGCTGTGCCATATTCGTCTGTTCCACATATATAAAGAACATTTAGATTTCTTAAACGACAGTACCTAACAATAAACAAATATAAAAACTTAATTTCTCAAATGAAATGTAACAACAAATTAGTTTTGAATAATAACTTAGTTAACAATGGATAATTTAGTTAATAATGGATAATTTAGTTAATTAATAGATTGAAACAAGTACAACTAAAAACTAAAAAAAAAAGTTAATAAAAATGGTAAATCAGTAGATCTAGCATTTATAATTTTTTTAAATTACAAATATATTACAAACATTCATTTTTGAAAATATGTTTTTATTTTGTTTTCTTGTGTGATTACTATAAATAAAATACTTCAAAACAAACCAAAAACAAAGTATAACACAATAAAAATTCACAAATTCTAAAAATTTAAATTTGTTTTTTGTTGTATTTTTGCTGTAAAAAAAACAATAGTTTGTAAAAAATTTCATAAACATAATAAAACTGGTTCTAAAAAGTCTTCTAATGTCATGTTATGACATTTTTATTTTTGAAAGTCTGACTTCTAAAAGCTGTTGAAATTTCAAATCGCATAATCAACACTGAATGTTTAAAAAATTTTAGATTCTTAAAAGTATATGTAAGAATAATAAAATAAAAATGAACTTTAAATTATACCTTGCATAAACATCAGCACTAAGTGTACAACCAATAATGTTTCCAAGATGAGGAACATTGTTAACATATGGTAATGCAGATGTAATCAAAATATTTTTTTCTCCATCTTTAGGTAAACTAAAAATATTAAAAAAGTTATCAAAAAAGTTATGCATCATCATCATCATCATCATCATCATCATCATCATCATCATCATCATCATCATCATCATCATCATCATCATCATCATCATCATCATCATCATCATCATCATCATCATTGTTGTTGTCATCATCACTGAAATGATGAGTGTGATGAAATAAAAATTATGCAAACATGTTTATAAAACTTTTGTTGCAACTTTGAATAAAAAATATATTCAAATTTCCAACAATACACACACTAACACATGCACACACACAAATATATATATATATATATATATATATATATATATATATATATATATATATATATATATATATATATATATATATATATATACATATATACATATATACATATATACATATATATATATATATACACACACACACAGACACACACAAACACATGTAGGCTACCAAGTGGATAAGTGTATTACTGGCTACTATTTATATACTTATAGTTAACTTATAGTTAACATCTACTGAATGGAAAGATGCAGATAGTTAACTTATAGTTAACTATCTGGAGTACAAGAAAGTCCTTGGTCCAAATTCTCTTTTTAATCTATGTACTAGACATAAACCGACTATCTCCCAACAGGTATAATTCACAAGAAATATGCAGAGGATATCTTAGCTTACATAATTGGAAAAAACTTTTCTCTTCCACAAGAAGTAGCAGTTTTCAACAATGGAGCTATGATAATAAAATGTTTCTACACAGCCGAATGCAAAGTTATTAATATTGGACATGGTGCAAAGCCTAAAATTGAAGAACAAAATTCTTGAAGTTATAAACTCATACAAATACCTCGGCATCAACCTCAACATAAATTTAAAATTTGAAAAATAATGGTCGAGCCTGTATAATAAAACTGCATCTTATGGGCATCTTATTAGGCATCTCAGAATATTTGGAGGATGGTCTAAATCTATGCTTAAATTAGCTAACTATGCCTATTGCTTTAGCTATTTTACCTACAAAGCAGTTGTCCTCACCTCCATAACCAATAAAACTAAATCCAAGATGGAAGTTTTTTAAAACTATTTCCTAAAAGCAGCTGGTATTGATCCTCATGATGCAACCAACTATGATTTCCTTCTAATTGAGGAACAGCTTGATGCTGCATGCATCAGTACAATTAAACAAATATTGAGCATTCCACAATTCATTCTGGTATAAACTTAGTCTACACCAGAATGATTACTCACATTCCACTTTCAAATTCAACACTAGAATAGCAAAATAGACAATGTATTTAAATACTTTCCGACAAAAATTTATTCGCCACCAGGTAATAACACTGCGTGTGGTGACACTAATAAATCAAGTGCTAATACTACCCTATACATTACCTGAAAACACTCAATACATTCTTAATACACACCATCAAAATATTGCACTATTAGTTTTTATAAACTCAAATCAATACTTATTTCAATAAAAGATTTAAAATCTTTTTTTCAATATATATATATATATATATATATATATATATATATATATATATATATATATTTTAATTTCCCTCTTCAAGGCAACGAAGGCTACTTAAGTTAAGGAGATTACTTTTTAGTTATGGTTACAATCCTCTCTCAACTCTATAACTCCAGAACACGAACCTTGAAAAACAAGGCCGCTTCACGGAGAAACTTATATGGTATATATAAGTATATTTATATAACATATATAAATCCAAAAAAATTTTTTTGGATAACCTAATATTACTAATGAAACTTATTTTCAATGAATTGCAACAGTAAACATTTTAACAATAGCTTAAGTTAAATGAACTGTTATCCCAATAAGTAGTATTGTGTTTATCTGGGTGCATAATTGAGTGAAGTGTAAGTCCTGCTCCTGTCCCAGTGATAAAGTTGTTCGTCTACTTTAAAAATAAAAATAATTACATTGGATGAGTCAATTTTCTTGGCTTTGCAACTAGATCTCGACCTTTTAACCAAAAACTTTTTGCATTTTTAATGTCAGCATCAGAAGGACCTTCAGTTTCCTAAAAATAATTTTAAAAACAAATTCTAATATATATATATATATATATATATATATATATATATAATATATATATATAAATATGTAAAGTATATAAAAAAAATATATATATATATACACATATATACATATATATATATATATATATATATATATATATATATATATATATATATATATATATCAGGGCACGAAAAATCGTTTTTTTTTAAAAATAAATATTGACGTTAATTTCTTTATTTATTGACGAACATCTAATTTAAGAGGTATGTCAAATAACAGGCCCAAAAATGTGGGGGAAGGAGGGGATATTTTATCAACTTTTTATTCAAAACATTTAAACAAAAAATTTAATTCAAAACAATTTTTCACACATTTGCATTGTGTGCGCAACTTAATGATAACTAATATGCATGACTGTAAACTTTTATCCATTAATAAAAAATAGGGAATTCTTCTTAATTTAGTTTGTTAAATTCATTTATTTATAAAAAAAGCATATAAACTTGGAGAAATTTAAATAAAAGGGAACTAAAAATATAATAAAAGTTGTTTTGACATTTCTTGTTTTACGCATTTAAAAATTATAATATTACATTAAGTATTTAATAATTTATTATATTAAGTTATTATTAAATACTTAATATGATATTATTATATTTATAATATTAAGTATTTAATAATAAAATATCAAATATATTTCTGCAAATCTTAAAAAAAAATTTTAAAACTTTAAAAAGGTCTATAGTTATAACATAATTTTAATTAACATTACTTTAATTTAAGGATAATAAGAAAATTAAAAAAATATTCGCTTTTGAAGAAAGGAATGTTTAAACATGGTTTCTTTTAAAGTAATTGCAAATGCATTCTTTTTAACTAAAATTTCCCATTATTTTGTAAACGAATGTAAAAACCATGCTAAAACATAATTACTTTCTTTAGTTGCGTACTTAATTATTAAACTTAAAAGTAACACTATTGGAAAAAGTATTAACGTGGTTTCTTTTAAAGTCATTGAATGCGCTTTAAATTTTAGTAACTTATTGTTTTTTTATAATAAATATGTTTTTTTTTATAATAAATAAAAAACTATCAATTGCCTAATTATTTGGAAAAAAAATTTCTGAAGTTATGCGTTTGTTTTTAAAAATTTTAAGCAAACGCCAATGTGTGCTTAAGTAAAAGTAAGGAAATGTGAAGTATGTTTTTCTGTCTTTTTTTTAACAAATGTTTGCACATTTGTTGATTTGTCGCGCTCTCTCTCTCTCTCTCTCTCTCTCTCTCTCTCTCTCTATATATATATATATATATATATATATATATATATATATATATATATATATATATATATATATATATATATATATATATATATATATATATATATATATGTATATTGTATATATGTATACACACCTATAGTATCACTTACATGACAAATTTTACATGACAAATTTTACAAAAAAATAATACTTAGCCTGACTCGCAAGGGAATGCTGCTACATCGACTGAGGGTTTGATTAGGGATAGCTTCAACATCAGGTTTAGGGTTAGGGTTACAGCAAGGTTTAAATATGGTTATATTTCTGTATATAATTGTGTATGTTTATAGATAAAAATAAAAATGAAATATATAATAAATTTTTAAAAGTAACAAAAATAAATATACAAATATATTTTTGTAATAAAATAGTAACTTCAAATATGCATAAATAAAAATAGAAAATAAAAATCAAAAAATATATAAATATGATAAAAATAGTATAAAAAAAGTAAAAAAAAAAAATAGATAACAGGAACAAAAAAAACATGTCCCCGTAAACGCTGACTAGGAGTGTATATATATATATATATATATACATATATATATATATTTTTTTTTTTTGTTATTCACCTCCTCAAGGCCGAGAAGGCCACTACAGACGAGGAGGCTACTTAATAGTGGTTATAACCCTCTCTCAACTCTACAACTCCAAAACACGAACCTTGACGAACAAGGCCGCTTTGCAGAGAAACAAGTTGAGCGCGGTGTCTAATATATATTAGACACCAGTGATTTTTAACTTTTTTTCGAAATTGGAATTACTTCAAGCTGGAGTACCTTCTTTAGACCATAAAAACATTATGGGCAAAATATCAAAGCTTCAGGTATTTCCGATTCTATCTTATTTGGACTTTTATTTATCATATATTATCATTAAAAATTAAAAACTTTAAGAGGTCACACAATAAATATTTGAAACGTTAACGCACAAAAACTTATATGAATGTACTGTTTATAAGGATAAGTTGTATAAATAATTTTAACGTAAATTTTCAAGGTTGTTTTTAGGGTGTTGGAAAAATAATTATCATAACTTAAACAATAAGCGGTTTTCAATAATCATTAACCATTAACTGAAAAACGGATTTAAACATAAACAACAATGTTATGTTGTTACAGCACTTTTTATCAGGATTTATTCTAATGTACAGAAGCAAAAAAAGAAAACTATTTTTACGGGTGGTGACTAGATGGCGGGGCAGGTATTAACAATCCCCCCCCCCACTCACCCAAAAAAACAAGATTTTATTATGCCCCTTTTGACTACTACTAAATATATTATACTTTTACTGCTGAACCAAATTAATAATAATAAACAAATTTATAAATTTTCCGCTAGAATCAGAAGTCATTTTCAGAATCATATTCAAAAGCTCCTCATTTGATATATCTTCCACACAAGGAGGCTCAAAACAGTCTATATCATACAAATTTATTAATTTTGACCAATTTTTACATCTACAATCAATAACTGGAATGGCATTAACCCTAATACCATCTTTTAATCTATTTTTAGGATCCTTAATTAGGGTTTTTCTTGTTTCCAAAATCTTAACAACAGTAATTGTTCTATAAACCTGTTCTTCAGAATAAAGTAGAGCAGCAATAAAATTCTCAGGTTGAAGACAAAAAGAGTTTCTATAAATTATAGGCAATGTAATATTTTGAACTTCAGTATCCAACCTCAAAATCCGCTGAATAAATTAGAAAATGAGTTTAGGACCCTCTCTGAAACTCTTGGACTTTTTGATATTAAACCACATAGGAGTATATACTGTTTGAATATATTCAACAAAGATTTTGAGCTCACTACTGGGATTGATTGTTCTTGTGTATAGTATCAAGATCCGTACTGCTGTTGTCAGCCACCTTGCATGACAAATAGGGCCTAAAAATATAATCTTTTATATATAAAAATTAATTAATAGTATAATTTAATAGTAAATTATATATTAATAAATATATATTTATATAAACTTCAAACAAACAAAATAAAAGGAAAAATATTAGGAACAAATGATTTACAAAACAACACACCTATTTTTTTTCTCAGATACTTATTGTCTGAAAACCCTCTAGAAAATCCAATACTATATTCCAGTAGCATTCTCTGGTCAGCAGAGAGGTCTTTAATGACACACGGAGGAGGATATTCAACGTCTGTCTCAACTTGCATGAAGTTAACAGTTAAATTTAAATGAATCGGATTTGTCAAAGATTTTCCAACTGGTCCTTTAAAATATTATTATTATTATTATTATTATTATTATTATTATTTGATCAAGTATATTAATATTAAAAGTTTTAACCTTTTACTCAAAATAATAATTTATATTTATGAATAAAGTATAAAGTAATAAAGTAATGCAGTATAGATCAGAATAAAGTAAAGCAGCAATAAACTCTTAAGTAAAAAATAGAATTTCTATAAATTTTAATAATGTTGCTAAATAATAATCGGGTAATCTAAATAATAATATTATCACTAAGAATGTAAAATAATATTATTATTTAGATTACCCGAATAATTATTTGAACTATTAGAAGAACCATCAAATTTAGAAATTAAATGACGAAATGGTAACTCATTAACATATAGAAGACAGCCAATTAAACGAATTCTTCTTTTCAATATTCTTTCAAGACAAGCAACTAAACCATTATCTTTACCTAAAATGATATAGTAATATGAAAATATATAACCCAAATAAAGATTTATATATTATACTTTTTTATTTTTCAGACAGGCATTTTTGAAGAAAAAATATACCTGTATTAACACTTGTATTGTCCAAAATTATTGCCTGGATACTTTTATCACTCTTAATTTCCTTGAGAACATTACAGGTAAATTCAGCAAGATCTTTTCCTTTACTTCTTTCTTTAGGTACATCTATGTGCTTTAGATATTGACCTTGCAACTTGCTTTATTTAAATTAAAACATTTTTATTAGAAAAAAAAAAAAAAAATAAATAAAGAGACAAAAGAGATAACATTGGCCTTTACCTGATTCAATTGTGAATGTCAAATGGTCTACAGTGCTGGTAGATTTACAAAGTTTTATTTCACCATCAATATCTCTCTGTTCATAAAACCAATGAGTTTTTATTACGTTTGCTATCCAAACCAATTGCTTTTATATTTGAAACTTTAGATTGCTCAAAACTAGCATTAAAGCATACTCGTTCTTTCTCCCTCTTCATTTTACTTGGATCAATTACATCATTTAGATGTAGATAACCAATATCTTGAAGTAGAGCATTAGCTACAGTGGCAGCTGCTTCATCTGATATTCCATATCTAATTACCTTTAAAGTAAATTTGGGATAGTGGGTAGTGTTATAGTACTTTGATCTAGTCTGATTTAATAATGAAATTGAAGTCTCACTCTGTAATTATAGAAAAAAATACAAAACTTCCAGAAATTTAAAATAATAACAATGAAAATTTAACATTTAACTGTATTAACATTTAAGATGCTCTATTAACTTACGAGCATTATATTTAAAAGAATTAAGAAATTTAAGAATATATATAGTTTTTATCATACAATCAAAGTTTACATGTCACAGTTTATTACCTGATCTGAATCTATGATTGTGTCAAACTCTTTAATATAAATTTCTTCATCAGAAGCTTTTGTTTGCTTTGTTTTTCTTGAGGTAGGTGATAAAACAGAGTTATCAATACCTCCTATTTGAAACTTTCCTTTAGTACCACTTTTCTCCCTTTGGTCTTTTATATAGGATCGCTCTTCCAAAAGAACCTAAATAATTATTTCTGGTTTTAAACATTATTTTCAATTAATTTGTGTAAAACGTGTAATTATCTAAAAAAATAAAAATTATAATAATATATAAAAAAGTTTATCAAATAAAAACTAAATAAGTTATTTAAAGTTTAATTTAAAATAAATTACTTTAAATTTGTATAACTTACTTTTTTACTACCAACACAACTACAGTAAAGATGCACATTTGAACAACCTGAGCATTTAATATTCCTGTCATCACAAAGAAGAACTTCAAGCTTGCAGTTACATGCAAGCAGATCAAAAAGTTTTTCATTATTTTTTTCCAACAATTTTTTGGTCAAAGGTTTAATTTTATTTTCATTCAAAGAAACAACATTATTATAAAATTTTAAGTTTAACAATCAAACTTTTTTCAGGTAACAAAACTAATTTGGCATTGCAATTGAACCATATTTCTTTTAAACTACAAAGCGTTCTTTGAATAATAACATTTTTGTCTTTAATACCATCTAAATCTTTTAATTTGTAGAAAAATCTTGCTACATCACCATAAGTTGCTAGATCTGTAATAGGAAGATCAGAAGGGCTGCCACCATATAAATTACACCGCTTATTTCTTTTTACAGAAGGCATTTTTGTATTATTGTAATAAATTAAGTTTGATAATATAGTTAATATATATTATAGATTTTATAACTCCTTAAAAATAACAGTAAAACGCTTTCGCAAGGTTCAATCTACAATTTGATACTCTGCTTTTTGGTTTGTTTACATTTTTTTAAGGCCGCATGTCATAATAAACAGGGTGTCAACTCAAAACAAACTTGAAAAAATGTATAAAACTATTTTAAAAAAACACAATTGAAAAACTGGAAAATGTATTTTTTATAATCATTGAATCAATGATGCACAAAAATATATTTTTTTTTTTTTAATTTTTTTTTTTTAATTCACCTCCTCAAGGCCGAGAAGGCCACTAAAGACGAGGAGGCTACTTATTTGTGGTAATAACCCTCTCTCAACTCTATAACTCCGAAACACGAACCTTGGCAAGCAAGGCCGCTGCACGGAGAAACGAGTTGAGCGCGGTACTACCAGGGACGCGGTGGGGATCGAACTCGGAACCACTCGTTTATGAAGCGAGCGCTCTACCACTACACCACTACCGCATTTCAATATGCTTTTCAAAACAGTCCTTTCTAGTTATTTCAGTTTAATCCAGCAGAGTGAACACCCCGATATATCCAATAAAAATGGCGACTAAGAAATCTTTTAAGTTGGACTTTTAATGCTTATTTTTAAAATAAAATAGCTTCTACTCAACTTTAAAAGTTACTTTTTTCGCCAAAACTCCTATTTTTTTATAAGGTAATTACTCCAGCTTGAAGTGATAAATTTCCCGAAATTGCTGGTGTCTAATATATATATATATATATATATATATATATATATATATATATATATATATATATATATATATATATATATATATATACATATATATATATATACATACATATATATATATATATATATATATATATATATATATATATATATATATATATATATATATATATATATATATATATATATATATATATATACACATATACATACATATACCTGTGTATGTGTATGTAAGTATGTATGTATGTATGTATGTATGTATGTATGTATGTATGTATGTATGTATGTATGTATGTATGTATGTATGTATGTATGTATGTATGTATGTTCAAGTAAGTGTCTTCATCCTCTAAAAGCTTTTAAAAATTCTAAAAGCAATTTAATTTTAATGCAATTAATGAAAAGTACATCCTATAGTATAGTCATAGTAAAATTTATCTTTTATAAGATATTTTAATTATGTTTAAGTAGTAAATTCAAATTTTTATTTTTATTATTTATTCATTTTATTCTATAGTTACATAAATATTTGAAAATAATTCATACTATCATTTTATTCATTCATTTAAACATCAGGATCAAGGCAAAGTTTTAACATTTTAAGAGTGTTGCTTTACATATTTAAAATTTTAAAAATATATATGTATACTTTTATACTGTTAAAAATACTAAAATTTTTTTTAGATGAGTACACTCAGCAAACTTTTTCTCCATAGCTAATAGAAATAAACAAGGATGTACCTCTGTTTGTTGCAATTCCTCTGCTGCATCTATAATTTTTAAATAATAATCATAAACATAACTTTAATTAAACTTATGCTACAGAGGTATCAAGTAGCACCACAAGTAATTTTTTTGTTGTTTTTAAAATTATATTTAAAATAAAGTAGTAAATAGGAGTACCTTTGATGTGCTTTATATTTTTTGAGAGGTGTGAAGGTAATGAATAGTTTTCAAAAAAAACCTAACAGAAAAAACAAGAGCAGAAAAGTCACAACATAACTATTAACATTTTTATGGTGTCTAATGTGACTATAAATTTGGTCAAAAATACAATGAAATCTTAATCACATTTAAATGAAACCTTATAAAATGAGGCTGTTATATTACATTTGTATGAATATATAACAACCTTTATGTGTGTATGTGTATGCATGCGTGTATGTGCGTGTATATGTGTGTGCATGTGTGTGTGTGGGTACAATACTATACTATATAATACCATTTACTTTTAATAAATACCTTGAACGCAGAAATTCCTTTGCTTTGTGTGATCAGATCAACTGCTTTTAATGTATTATCTGATATTGACAATTTATTGAACCAATTTTTAACAGCAGGCAGTTTAAAACTGATATCTGTAATACCAATAATGTTAAATATTATGCCATCTTAAAATATGTATAATATGTAAATATTAGGTTATGGTAGAGCAAGGAAAAAGAACACAATATACAGTAAAAATAATTAACTAAATGTCTAAACTACGTCAGCATTTTAAATATTTTAAGTCTACAAAATATATTTAAAAAGTACCAACCTAATTGTGTAGGGATATCAATATATATTTACTAAGTAACAATATATAACCTTGAATATCTTTTTCTTGCATAACTGCATAGAGACTTGCCCAAACAACTATGTCAGAAGCTGTAATAAATGACTAAAATAAATAGTTTTGATTATTAAAATGAAAGCTTCACAAAAAATAATTTAAATAAATAATATTGTGCACAGAATCAGTCAAAATCAAAACTGATCACATTACATGGTGACAGTTTCACCTTATTATTTATAACCATATTTTTAACATAAACAAAAAATAAAAAAATATGCTTTATTTTTATAACAATATATAATATATAATTGAAATATAGCCAATTGATATATAGAAATAATTAACCAAACAAGTAGTGAGTGCTATAAAAAAAAAAAAATAAATTTAAAATTTTCATCTTTATATTTTAACTCAGATTAATCAATCAAAATTGTAAAATTCAGATTAAGCAATCAAAAATGCAAAATACTAAGAGTTATAAACTAAATAAATAGTGAGTGTTATATAAAACCAATAAGAAAATAAATAGTGACCAAATTCTTCCATAATCATATTGCAACTAGAAGATATGCATTATGTTTAGTGCTTGCTTTATTTTTATAGATAAAGCTGCTTTTTGTATTTTATTTATTTAAATTGTAATTTATGTTAGCAGAATGAATTTTTAAGTAAACCATATTTTTAGACAATTTTTTCTCTTGAATACTGCAGTATTAAGTAGAGTTTGCATTATATGTAACCTGTATTTTGCAATGCTTTATAACAAGGCTATGTTATAATAGAATATATATTTTATAAAAGCCTTTGTTATGATTAGTTGCTATTTAAAAAAAAAAAAATTAAAAAAAAAAAAAAAAATTCTTAATTTTAAATTAACACTCTAATATAATAGTAACAAAATAATAAGAATAATAATAAAATATTAAAAAAATACTGATAAAAATAGTTGCAATTAACTTTTCTATAAAACTATTTGCTTTTAGTCAGCTTTGTTTACTTGTTTAGGTAAAAAATTTTAGGTAAAAATTAAAAACTAATGTTAACTATCAATGATATGAACTTAAAATTTTAAATTAAAACTGGGAATTAATTTTGTTTTAAAATATTTTTTTTTCCTTAAATTAAAATGTTAACAATAAAAATTTTTGTGCGATTTTTATATAATAAAATTTTCTAAAAGTTTCAAAGTTGAAAGTTTTTGCACAAATTTCAATAATTTTTCTCAACCTGATTTGCAATCAGGTTGGGGCAGCAGCTTTGCATTTTGGTTTAGTGAATTGGCAGATTGAGATACACTAACGTAACCTATAAAATGGGTAATCCTATGCAACACAAGAAACCCATTTAAAAAAGTGGTTGGGTCAGCATGACCAGATAACACTCGAAGATAACCAATTTATTAAACAGATCACCCAGACAATTGACACATGATAACCTATTTATGATTCAAATAATCTGTCTAACCCAAGTAACCTTTTCTAACCTACAATAAATTAAAAAATAAACAAAAAAATTAATGCTACAGTCAAACAGGTTACTGAGTGATTCACAGTTCCCTTCTGAATAATTCATCACAGAATAAATATATTCACTTGTTCACTACAAATTTCTTGAGTAGATAATTGCAAATTGTATGAATCAATAAAACAAGATGAAGGGAGAGAATCCCAAAGAACTGATGTTTGAGGGAAAAAACTAGACAAATAAGAGTTTTAAGAGCACTTAGGAACAGTCACAGTAAAAAGATGAGGCTTAAATGAATGATGAGTAGCACGAGAATGAATTTTAGTAGATGGCACAAGAGATGCTATCACTTTAGAGCAGCGCTCATTATAGTATTTATAGAAAAGAGAAAGAGAAGCAACATTATGACGATGCAAAAATGGTTAAAGGTTGGCTGTAAGAGCAGGTCCAACTATGTTTACAATGCGTTTTTGCACCTTGTCAAAATAAGAAAGGGCATCATTTGGAGATCCAATCCATATATGGCAACAGTATTTTTTAAAGCTCAAATACCCCTTCAAGCAATCAGAGAGTGTTGCCTTCTTATCTAGAAAAAAATAAATTGTAGTATCATCAGCGAACAATGTCACCTTGTGAAGCAAGAATTTCAGGGAGATTGTTAATGTAAATTTTAAAAAGTATAGGGCCAAGGATAGAACCTTGAGAAACCCCTGAAGTTACAGGAAATAAAGGAGAGTGCTGTCAATCTAGGACAACTTTTATACTATAAATGGTAAGAAAGGATTCAATTATCCTAAACCTGATACACTGTAAGAAAAAAGCTTATGGAGAAGACCAGCATGACAAATTTTATCAAAGACTTTAGAAATGTTGAGGGCGATAGCCTTAATCTCTACACATCTTACGCATTATAAAACCTATCGGTTATTACCACTAACAAATCAACAGAGCGAGAAGATTGAAATCTATATTGATGATCAGAAAGTTATTAGATTCAAAATGAGAGATTAGTTGTTTGTGAATTAGACTCAAAAACCTTATGATAGGGAGATGACTTTTGGGATGGTAGTTAGACATTGCTCTCTAGAATTTTTTAAAAAATAGGGATAACATATGCCGCTTTCCAGCAGGCTGGATAACAAGACTCTGATAAGCACTTGTTAAATTTTTGAAAGTATAGACGACAGCTCCAAAGAACACTTCTGCATAACTATAACAGGTATGTTGTCTGGATCAATCAGCTGTAGAAGAGTCTAAGCAGGATGTAAAACTTTTACACTTTTGATTGGCTAAAATATTTCGTTTCAAATTTTTGAAATTTAAAAATGCTTTTACACTTAACGCAAGATGGCTATAAAAATCATCACTTATAAAAATTTAGATAAAAGCAATTAAAGGTAAAAAACTTTATAATAAAATAAATAATAATAATAAAAACTTTATAATAAAATAATGAAGTATTTGTTTTCTTTTTATGACCAAAATTTGTTTTGAACAACAGGTTTTAATTTAACTTTAAAAAAAGAAATATAAACATTCTATAAATACACTAACAACATCACTAAAAACATCTTAGTACACTTATATGAAGCAAGACAAATTATGATAAATAAATTTAGTAGATAATAAAAGTTAAATTACAAAAAAAAAAAAAAAAAAGATAATATAACAAAAAAAAATCATATACAGTTTTAAATATTAACCATTTCCTTTTTTTATAAAGCAACATTACAAAGAAATATACTCACTCCTAGTAAGTAAGGGTTCTGACCCAAATATGAATTGATTGATTGAAACACACTCTCCATGATTATTGTATTAGAATCTTTTTTTCCAGAAAACAATGATAATAAGTAGGGCTGCACAGCGGCCTTAAAAGTAAAGTTTTTTAAGTACAACTTTGTATTAGCAATTATATTACACACAAAAAAAAGATATTTGAGCATTTTTTATAAACAAAATTTATCATTAAAATAAGTTTTCAACATTATCACAACTTATTTAGAAAAAACATTAACAACTTTTTTAATTAAAGCTTTTATAACAAGTAATGACAAACATATTTCTCTTTAAAGGGATATAGCTAAACAAAAAAAAGTTAAATAAAACTAGCTAATAAATCTAACAAGTAAAAAAACTAATCCAAAAATATATTGAAGTTCAACTAAGCTAATAATATTTTTAAGGCTTGTCTGATTCACAAAAAACTTTTTAAAACACAATGAACACTTTTCAAAACACAATGAACACCTTCCAAAACACAATGAACACCTCTCAAAACAAAATGTTCCTATTTTCAGCTTCATTCTTCAATTGTTTCAAGAACCATTCTGTTATCTTTACATCTGTATATTTTCAATGCTTTTTGATTGATTTGAAAATTTCAAATTTCTTAAAAAAAAATTTCTTAGCAGCTTTTCTTTCAGAAAAACACAATTAAAATTTCAATAAAGCTGTAAACACTAATTAATCTGAATGATGAGTCACACAAGGTTAAGTTTTGGTTGATGGAATAAGTGACGATAGGGTCATTCCATGCCAAGTGAACCAGGGTCCAACATGGACCCCCTCAGATTTTGATGAAGCTTGGTGGGTTGGTTTATACCAATGAGAAAAGCAATTCCTAAAAATTTCAGCTTACAATCTTTTGTGGTTCATGAGATATCGCAATTTGAAATTTTTATTTTTTCCAAAAATTTAAGCTTCAATAGCAAAAACATGTTTTGTTCATACTTTGAAGCTCTGTAATTAAAAAACGAAATTTCAGAAAACCTAGTTTTTTTTATTATATACAACTGCAGGCTTACTTTGTTAAAACTTTGACATTGAATTTTTTAATTTCACATTTTATCCATAATGGCTGCCTAAAAAACCTAAAAAAATGTTTGTAGATATAAAAAGTTGATTTTTGATGGGTCAATATACAAAATTAGCAACTGAATTAGAAACAAAAAGACATATCTTTTTAGTTTCTATATATAGTAGGCTTCCTAATTTTAAAAAAACTGCTGATAAGATATGATTCAGTAAGAAATAATGGACTCCTAAAAATGGCTTCGGGGATAACTTCAAAAATTGTGCCTTCCCTTTAAACCATCGGTAACCTAGGATCAACACTGATTTTCATAGTAAATTTATTTTTTACTGATTTAACAGACTTTAATAAAGTGAATTCAGAAAAAAAATTAGTGAGTACTCATGGGGAAGTGACAAAGTCAGAACAATGAAGTTGGCACAAAATGCATTAAAAACAATAAAAATATAGATATTGATGTATTTTGTTTTCATTATCTACTGAAATGGAAAAAAATATATATATATATATATATATATATATATATATATATATATATATATATATATATATATACATATATAAAAGTATATCATAATCATTACTAGAAATAAGCTATAAACTAAGACTGAATTAAACTCAGTTTTTAAATAACCTTAGTTGCCTCCCCTCCCCCTATTCATTTACTTTTAACATGCATATTTTTGCACAGAACGTTTTCATCATAGGAAGAACTTTTTGTTTAATTAATTTTATTAATTAGTTATTGAATATTTTACCTTAAGCAGTGTGTCATATAAAAGCTATGACATTTAGTTTGTAAAGTTAGACAGAACATATAAAAGTAGCACATTAGGTAAATAAATAAAATAAAGACTTTTTGTTTTATTCTTACTATCTGCCGAACACATATTTGTTTTCATATCACTTATTTTCTTACTATTTCATATTCTGACTATAAATTTTGTATAATTTTTCCTAAAGCATTTGCTATTCCGCCCTTCCCAATTTATTTGATTATCATCATTTAAATTTAGGTTACAGATTATACCAAATGATAAGAGTTGTTTGATTTGTCATCACAATACGCAAGTTTATTATGTAAAGTCTATTTCCTCAAGCACTTTTACTTGGCCACTTCTCTAAGTGGCCAAGTAAAAGTGCTTGAGGAAATAGACTGCTTCATGAACTTTACAAGGATATCTTGATTTTCTTCAGATATTTCCACAATATTACCTAAAAACCATTTTTCATCATAAACACATGCTATATAAATTCCTTGTGAAAGAGAGGCAAGTGGAATCGTATAGTTCTACTGCATTGTTGAAATATTTACATTAGTAAACACATTGTCAAATGACACCTGTTTCATCTGTAAAGTTGTTAATGATTTTGGTATAAAACAATGGTGGTTTCTTGTTCCTTGAATTGTTGAACAAGTAGCATAACGTTTGTCTAATTTAAAATTTATGCAATGTAATGTAACTGTATAATTTGAAATGTATTGAAAATGTATACTCACAAACGTATACTGAGTAGTGATGTGCCGGGTACCCGGTTCGGACCCGGCAATTTGGCTGTTTTACCCGGTACCTGGTATCAGCCATTTTGTTGCAGTACCCTGCACTGGGTATCTTCAAATTGATTTTTCCTTTAGTTTAAACTTTAACCATTAAACTTCTTGATATAAGTCTAAGAGTGTTATGCAGTCGATAACCACAAAGTTCTATTAACTTAAAATAATCTCACTTAAAATATTTTTTAATACATTTTTGCAAAAATATTTATACGGATACAAAAACTGTAACGCAAAATGAAATAATTCGAAAATACGAATAAAAAGAATGGGAAAAAAAGTCTTAGAATAGCTTCTTTTTATTCTGTTAGAACACAAGATAATTTTTAGCAATTTAGTTTTGAATGAAACGCTTATAATGCTTTCGAACGCTGATAGCACTTTTAATTTGTATCAAGCAAAAATCATAAAAGTAGAGATATAAGGTAAACATTATACACATTTTTCATATTTTAATTTCGAGCGTATTATTAAAAAAATTATCGTTTAATATAAAATAAACGAAAACTTTGGTATCAAAACTAGTTTCATTATCTTTATAGAAATTTTATTTGAAAGAAAAATTATGAAAAAAAAAAGTATAGCGTTGAAGTTCTTTGATATAAGCACTACTCCTCATATAAGTAAGTGCAAACTATGTGATAGTTTAGTTATGAGAGGAGGAAAATCTTTCAAGTCTTATGGAACTACAGCAATGGTAAAACATTTGGGTTTAAAGCATTCCAAAGAGTTTGAACTTGCGGGAAAAAAAAAAGATTCAATCATTGACGTCTGTTTCTGAAGCCACAGTTGCTTCTACCACCAATACAGTACAAAGTAACATTATTCAGGCTTTACACAAAAAAAACAAACAGTGGAATATTGATGACCACAGATCTATTCGAATCCATAAAATAATAGGAAAACTTATCACATTGGATATTCAGCCATTTTCTATTGTTGAAGATACAGGGTTTAATGAACTGATTAAAGATGCTTACCCCAATTACAAATTACCATGTAGAACATGTTTCAGCCAAAACGTAATCCCTACCATGTATGATGAACTGTTTAAAGATATAAAAATAAAAATCTCTGAGGCAAACTATTTGTCTCTGACGACAGATATTTGGACAGCGAATACTGCAAAAATCGCATTTTTAAGCATTACTAGACATTGGATAGATCAAACTAAATTTTCCCAAGAAACTGCTGTTCTTCGAGTAACTCATTTTCCGGAAAAGCACACATGTGTTCATATAAAAGAGTATTTACAAAAAGGTTTAGAAACTTTTGAAATCCAGTTAAGCAAAACTCATCTTATTGTTACCGATAATGCAAGAAATATGAAGGCTGCAGTAAAAAACAGTGGAATATCATCAATTCCATACTTTGTAGCTATGTATTCATGACTCTATATTTAGCCAAAAAACCATCAAGGAAATTTTAACTTTATGCAGAGGAATAACGACACATTTTAATCATTCGCCAATAGCATCTGCAAAATTAAAATCAATTCAGCAGCAGTTAAGTACTGTACCTCACAAAATGAAACAAGATGTTCGAACTCGCTGGAACAGTTCATTTGAAATGCTACCAAGAAAGCTTGAACATAAAGTTCCTTTGGCCACCTATGCAGCAGAATATGATGAAATTAAACTTCCTACTAATTATCAATCTACTAACATCTGTTCTTGCATTGAAAGTTTTATCACAAAAAGCTTCATCAAGTGATATATACGCTGGGATTATGACGATGATTGATGAACTGATAAAATCTGTTACTAAAAGACTTGATAAATTTTTGCTTAATAAAATGTTATGTGTATCAACATTTTTGGATCCACAATATAAATTACTTTATCAACATGCAGATGAAAATATTATTAAGGAGTGGGTTGAAGAAGCATGGAAAGAAATGCAAGGAGTGCAAGATGTTGTTGACTCTGACTCCGACGATGCTCCAATAGTAAAAGCTCCAGCATTTAATGGATTCATTAGCATTGATGATTGTTTTAAAGATGTAGCTTCTATGAGAACCGGAAGAAAGCAGAGTGAAAGACGTTCCGAGGCAAAAAGAGAATTATTAGATATTGAAGTTGTTATCACTGACATAATTAAGAAGCAAACAATATTAAGGTCTGCAATTAATCAAGAAACCTGGACACATTCGATTTCTTATATTAAAGTTTTCTTTTAAAATATGAATCTCATTAAAATCATTGTCTTTATTTTTACATGAATCGCTTTCATAGTCTTTTTTATTATTTTTTAAATGCAATATTTTACAACATTCTGTACAAAGCTTATGACCAGGTATTAAATCAAATTCCTTTGCAACAGCAACACTGATTACTCTGACAGATTCTAAAAAGAAACAAAATAATAAAACATTAAGAAAGCCTTTATCTTTGAAATAACTGATAAAGTCAATTTGTTATTAAATATTTTTAATTTTAATTTTGTGTTTGTTAAATGGATCACAACAAAAGTTTCCATCGTACGAAGACTCAAATCTATTTAAGAAGATCTTTTCATGGTGATAACAAATAGTTTTTATGATTAACTTTACATCGCAAGTGCACAAGTTCTTGATCTTTTTTGTTTAATATGTCAAAACATTTAATTTTCTTGAATTTGGTAAATTTTCCTTCATGACAATTTTTATTTAATGTTTTTCCAATGAAACACTGAGTTAGGCAACTAAGGTTATATAAAAACTGAGTTTAATTCAGTCTTAGTTTATAGCTTATTTCTAGTAATGATTATGATACTCTTTTATATATATATATATATATATATATATATATATATATATATATATATATATATATATATATATATATATATATATATATATATATATATATATTTTATTTTTTTTGCATTGCAGTAGATAATAAAAACTAAAATACATCAATATCTATATTTTTATCGTTTTTAATGCATTTTGTGCCAATTTCATTGCTCTGACTTTGTCACTTCCCTATGAGTACTCACTAATTTTTTTTCCGAATTCACTTTATTAAAGTCTGTTAAATCAGTAAAAAAAAATTTACTATGAAATTCAGTGTTGATCCTAGGTTACCGGTGGTTTAAAGGGAAGACACAATTTTTGAAGTTTTCCACGGAGCCATTTTTAGGAGTCCATTATTTCTTACTGAATCGTATCTTATCAGCAGTTTTTTAAAAATTAGGAAGCCTAATTTTTAAAAAATTCAGTTGCTAATTATGTATATTGACCCATCAAAAATCAACTTTTTATATCTGCAAACAATTTTTTAGGTTTTTTAGGCAGCCATTATGGATAAAATGTGAAATTAAAAAATTCAATGTCAAAGTTTTAAAAAAGTAAGCCTGCAGTTGTATATAATAAAAAAAACTAGAAGGTTTTCTGAAATTTCGTTTTTTAATTACAGAGCTTCAAAGTATGAACAAAACGTGTTTTTGCTAACGAAGCTTAAATTTTTGGAAAAAATAGAAATTTCAAATTGCGATATCTCATGAACCACAAAAGATTGTAAGCTGAAATTTTTAGGAATTGCTTTTCTCATTGGTATAAACCAACCCACCAAGCTTCATCAAAATCTGAGAGGGTCCATGTTGAAATCCCAAAACATCAGTCCATTTGGCATGGAATGACCCGATAGCTCGATTGAGCAGTGACTATGGTAGTATTTGAGCAATGACCATGGTAGTTATGAAAGAAGACAGAGAAGCAGTTACCTGCTCTAACTGCTAAGCTTTAGCTTAGCAGTTAGAGCAGCTTCAACATTTATAATATACTTTTAAATCTGATCTAAAAGGCCTCATTAGAAGAACCTAATATTAAGCTAATGATACTAGGATTATAAAGAGATGCAACTTTAGCAGATACTAACTTTGCAATAAATTGTAAATTGTTTCCACTAGGTCGGTAATGAATAATTATCCAAGAAAACATAGAGTAGAGTCTGTCAGTATAAGAATATCAACAATATTCAATTTTTAGTAGTAAATGAATTTTGTTTAAATTAAAATTCCTTTGGGTACTGCAACCCCAAGCTGTCCCAGTGAATACATTTTTTCAAGATTGGTTTATATACTTTTGTCATCAGCAAATGGAGCAGAAAGATCTTTGATAAATACGAGGAACAACACAGAAGAAACTTTCAAGAAAGGAACCTTGCTTGTTTTTACTATTTTCACATGAGGTCAATTTAATCTTTTTTTATTGAATAGAGAAATGATATTACAAACAACTTATTTTATAATTTTCATATACATAAATATGTGTGTAATTACAAAATTTTAAAACTTTCATTTTCCTCTATATTATATTTTTTAATCTATTATTTACAATTTTACTGGAAGAGCTAACCAGCTTGATGTGTTAAACATTTTTAACACCAAACAAAGCCAGGTAACACCCACTAAGAAAACAATACCTTTAAAATTTTATCTAACTCTTTTCAATCCTCATAACTTTAACTGAGTTAGCGAGAATAAACAAAACATTTATGTGCCAAATATTTACATATTAATAAATTTATACATAAAACAATTAAATTTAACTTCAATTTTAATAACTTTCTTTTATTATATATCTTATTTTAATCAATAGATTGTTTCAGTTTTTCAATTTTAAAACAACATCATAAATATATAACTTTTTACTTGTAATTTAAATGATTCCCATTCCAAAATTTCATCTTGCTTTTCTTTATTTTCAGTAGAAAATTCATGTTTTACTTTTGAAATGTTGTAAAGATAACTAAACAATATAATAAAAAATAATCAAAACAAAACAAAAAATACTAATACTAAAATAAAAAGACTAATGTTTAGAACTAACAATGTTGAAAGAAAAATCAATAACATTTAATTTTTAACATTTAAGTTGTTATAGAATTTATTTTAACATTAAATGCTATTTGAAAAAAAAAAAAAAGAATAATCTGAAATATTATGGTCGTTGACTACTGTTGTAACTTTTTTAATAAATTCTTTATAAAACAGTACTTAACATTAAAATAAAAATTTTTACCATTAGTACCTCAGACCTGATTTTGCCAGGTGTTTGGCAAATATTTGATCATTGATTTTTTTATGATTTGATCAAAAAAGTTATATTTTTAGTGTTTAAAAAAAAATGATTAAATTTTTTTTTCAATTGAATTCACTTTTAACAAAGCTTTTCAAGTTGGAAGTTTTCTGAAAGCAAAGAAGAGTTTACTGAAATCAAAGAAGATTGTTAAAGAGGAAAACAGTTCACAGAAAACTTAAAAAACTGTAAACCATATGTCAGAAAAACATGAGGCAGGAGAGATTTCTAAAGAACCTATGTTCAAGGAATAAAAGTTTTTTGACCATAAAAGGGTATTTAAATCACATTACTGTTAAAGTGCATTGAACAAAACTAAGAGAAAATAAAATTGAAATATGTACTTTTTGTTGAGGAAAATTTGTACAATGCATACATTGTACCTTAACCAATATGTACTTTTTGTTGAGGAAAATGTTTCATAAAAAAATTTTAGAAAATTTTGTAATGAAAAACTTGATTTCAGTTTCAATTATGGTATTTAATGAATGTTTTAAAGGGTGCTTGGTACGTTGTACTGTATGTACTTTAGTGATGGATTGCAGGCCTTGTTTTAAATAAAAAATACTTAATGCAATAGCTTAACGTGATATTTGACATCATAAATGTCTCTTTATTTTTTTATTTTTTAAAGACATTTACGTTTATAAATACTCTAATAATATTAATTACCGCAAAACGAGTTAAATGTTATTTAACAGCTTTTTTAATATTACTAAAAGACAATGTTTATTTTCTTTTATTTATTTTTTTTTAATATTAAATTATTAAATTTAATATTGCATTTAAAAAAATGTTTGATATTAACAAATTTCTTTCTTTTCTCGACATTTGCATAAATGAATGAAAATATGTTAAATTTTTGAACTTCTAAAATGATTGTTTCATGAATTTCTAATTACAAATGATTTTTTATTAGTAACAATAACAATATTTGTAACACAGTAACAATATTTTATTATTGTAATTATTGTAACACAGTAACAATATTTTATAAGTAACAATAAAAAAATTATGTTAATTTATTTACTTTATTTATTAAAAGTTTATTATTTTGTGTAAACTTTTGATGCAGCTGTTTGTATAAAATTTAATTTTGAATAAAAAAAAAAAAATGTTTAGGAGAGAAAATCAAAAAAATAATTGCGATAAAAATAAGATAATTTTTTTTTTTAATAAAATTTCAATTTTGAATAATATTTAGTATAATTTTTAAATTAAACTAAGTTAAACCCAAGCATTAACTTTAATTTTAATAAAGTTAAGTATTTTTTTTTTTAAATAAAAATTAAATTACATATTTCTAAAATCTAAATTAAATTATATATTTTTATTAAATTAGTTTTAAATTAAACCATATTTTTTTTATCAGAACTAAATGTATTTATGATCTTTGCTTCAAGTTTCAAAAAATCAATCATTACAATTAAATAAAAACAAAATAAAAATAAACTTTTAATTTTATTATTTAAATTTTTTTCATTAGTAAATAGCGCATATATCAAACATAACTGTCATTCAAACTTTTGTAACAAATATTTTTACATAAATGTTATTCAAAAGTTAATGTGACTTTTTTTAAAATTAATTACTTTTATTTTACCACTTAAGGCCATTTTCCACAAGACAAAAAATTCGCGCGAAGCAAATTTTTTCGTCGTTAAGCATGTGCAGATTAAACATTTTTGGCGATTATACTGATTTTTTTTTCGCTACAGCATTTCGCTGCAGCAAAAAAAAAAGTCGACTTTTTGCGAATTGCCATAAGCGAAAACCAATCAAGTTTTGAATATTATATCATGTGGTGTCAACATTAAAAAAAAGCGAAAACATGTTTTTAAAGTAACAAAAAACAAAATTCTTAACCTAGGGTTCTTATTAATTTTATATAAACTTACTCTTAAAATTGGCAAGCATGAGTAAATTCATCAAACAAGGGGCAAGACTTACATAAAAAAATGACCAGATTTGTATAGAAAACTAAATCAAGAATTTACAAATATAAATTTTCAAACTGTCAATAACAAAAATTACACTTCATAAGAATGTTTATCTTCAAGTGGCCACACGAAGATAAACCTTTTTGTGAAAAATTCTACATATAGTTAAACCTGCTGTTCCTTCTTGCAGTAACAGTTTTTTAATCGAAATATTAATATAAGAGTTTAGCATTTATTTTCTTATACTTTTTGTAAAAAAAACCTTATATTAAATGATTATATTACAAAATAATATCACATCTTACATATAAAGGCAGAAATGTTAATATTAATGCATGGAAAAAAATTTTCACATGCTTCAAAGAAGAAAGTATGCTTAAAAAGTAATAAATACTTTTAGTTAAACATACAGCGTAAACTTATTGCTGCCACTTTTTATTGTTGACAACGAAAAAAAAGTAGCACGAAAGAAAGTAATTGGAAATCAAAACAGCGTTTCCGTTATAGCGAAAAAATTCGCTTCGCGCGAATATTTCGTCTTGTTGAAAACGGCCTTTATAGAATAATTTAAAAGTCGAAAAATGATAAAAAGTCACTTAACCCAAATTGCTTACTGCTTATGTAACACTTTAAAACAAGGCCTGGGGTTGGTAGCTCTATAGCAATATACAATTATTTTAAACACTTTTAACATGTGATATAAATGAAATAAACTTAAACAGGTTCTTGCTATCTCCATTGATGTATAAATGGAGAGCAGAGTTATATTTATGACCTTTTTTTGTAGTTTTCATAGTATTTTTATAGTACTATTAGTGACTAATTAATGAAGGCAAAAGCAAAACTCTCTACTGCCAACCCAAGATTTAATGAAAGAGAAAAAAAAAAGCAAATAACTAAATTTTAACTTAGAACTTTTAAATATTTGAGAATTGCTAAAAATTATGCTTTAAAGCAAAACTAAAGCATAAGCAGGGGTCAAAATAAGTGCCGGACATCGCCGCCTCTCAGACCTTTTTTGAGACCTGCTATAAGAGGGCAACCAACCATTGTTCCTTTTTACTGCAAAAATGAACAATGGTTTGTTGCCCTCATCTAGCAGGTCTCAAAAATGGTCTGAGGGGCAGCGATGTCCGGCACTTATTTCGACCCCTGAGCATAAGTCAAGTAGGTTTTAGAGACCTTTGGCTGAGGGTGCAAATAAGACAATATCATCAGCATAAAAAAATGGTCAATGAGAGAAGAACCTAAACAACATCCTATAAGAGTTGTACTAAGATAAACACAAAAATCATTAATATATAAGTTAAATAGCAGGGGAGAGAGTACACTTCTTTGTTGCACTCTATTACCAATAGTAAATGTATTGAATAGTAAGCCAGCCCAAGAGATTTGAGCTGTTTGACCAGCATACCAAACAACGAGTAAGCATAAAGTCACACCAGAGACAATTTTTAGAGAGTTTCATAAACAAGGTGTCAAAGCAAACTCTTTCAAAAGCCTTATTGATATCAATGAATGCTACCTGTATAATTGAGCCATAAGACAAGTAAAAAATTAAATGGTCTTTCAAAATAAGAACAAGCATGAAAGTGATATGTTTTTGTTCTATCTGAACCTCTGACACGATGTTCATTCATTCCTAAGTACTTTTTGTATGTATGTATTCTGTCTAAACCTCTGGCACAGTGGTGGTTCACCTGTAAGTAACTTTATATATAATGTTTGTATTCTGTCTGAACCTCTGATGCAGTGTTTACTCACCCCTAAGTTACTTTATATATGTTTGTATTCTGTTTAAATCTTTGAAGTAGTGTGAGCTAAGTAACTAACTACTTACTTCAAATATGAAACCTATGCTCACCTTAGTCTCTAGTATTTTGTTAGATGTAGTGTTTTTCCTACTACATTTCCAAAATGTCAAGCCTGGTGTTTTAAAGTACTGTTTGCGGGAAGTAACTCTTTTTAACTATTCTAGGTCAGGTCAGGTTCAGGATCATCATGATCACCCTGTTAGGGCTACTGGTTGAGTAAAGGCTAGAAGTAGTGTCTCGATAAAAATACTCATCTTAGGCAGATGCTAACTGCATCCACCTACTGTCTTGTAGAAGACCTCCTAGGCAAAGACTCAAATACCTTATTTATCATCAGATGTAAACCTGTATTACATTGATTCCTGCCTAAAATGATGACTAGGATCTTCTGATGATTATGGATTTTCTTGACTCTACTCAGGTTTTTGCTTGTGCCTCCTTGATGGTGGATGTTTTGCTATCTCTAAAAGGTTTCTGGAAACACTGTGGTAGCGTTCAGAGAGGCTGATTCTATCAACAGCTGCAAAATATAAAAGTATTAACAGTGCCATGTTGCGCATGGATGTGACCCTGGTTATACTTTTGGTGTGAATTGCTGAAGCAACATAAGGAGCCCTATATAGACTTAGAGTTAATTAACAGGACTGAGACAATTGCATAGCTCATTGGCTAGGAGGCTGTGCTCTATCTATAAATGAGTCAAGTTCTCTTTAAACTTAAATCATGCCAAAGTAACCCAAAATTTTAAACATAAAAAACCATCCCTAACTGTTTAAATATATATTTTACAAATATTTGTGGTCTGCAAACCAGCCAATTATCAGTTGAATCTTACCTCTTGCAAAATTAACTTGATTGGAATTTAAAATAGTCTTAGTGAGACTACTTTATTTCCATTATTCCTTATAGACTACTCCAATACTCACATGCTTGGCTTGGAGGTATACATACGCATCAATTCACCTATTTGTCGTGAAATCAGGTTTAGATTTTTGACCATTCTTTTATGAGCTTTTGCTTAACACCTCTTTATCACCTTTCTCTTTGTTCTTTATCGTTCTTCACAAGACTGCACTCCTTTAGATGCAATTTCTGATCAAATTGACTATGTCCTCTCTCTTTACCAATCAGCCAATATTGTTGTTATTGGTGACTTTAATACTCATCACACTGAATGGCTTGGCTCCAACGCCACTGACCTGGTGGCACTAAAGCTTATGACTTCTGCATTTCTCAATCTCTTTCTTAGATAGTTAAATTTGTGATTCTTTTTCCTGATAACCCTAATCATTTACCATTATTGATTGATTTATTGCTTGAATCTGACCCTAGCTTGTGTTCAGTTTTCCCCTTTTCTCCTTTAGGTGGTTCTGACCATCCAATGATCTTTTAAAACCTTTTATCTCATACTTCTTTTTTGGACTCACCTTAGCATTGCACTACTTAACACTACCCTAAAGCTAACTGAGATTTATGATTTTCTTAGTAACGATCCTTGGACTGATGTCTTTTTCTTCTCAGCTGAAAAATACGCTTCCTACGTAACCTCCTGGATTCAGGCAGGAATGGAAACTTTTATTCCTTTTTTTCCGTTACAAGTCAAGCCTCATTCTATTCCAAGTTTTTGAGATAATCAAATCATTTCTTTCTAACCGCTTTATTAAAACCGGTTAGAAAGCCAATACTCTTTTTTATTTCCAGTAACTTCTGGGGTACCTCAAGGTTTTATCTTTGATCCTATTTTGTTTCTTATCTACATTAACGATCTTCCCATCAACCTTACATCTACAATTACTCTAATAGCTGATGACTCAACTTTATACTCCTATCTTGACTAAAAGTCTTCTCTTTTCGATCACTTAAAGCAGGCAACCAATCTTGAATCTGATCTCACTTCTGTAGCAGATTGGGACTCACAGCGTATTGTAAATTTTAAATCTAACAAAACTGCAGACAACTATCACAATACTGTCGACATTCCTATATTAATCCATGGTGAACCTTTCACTAAGTCCTCTTCTTAATGTCTTCTTGGATTAACATTTACTAATGACCTTTCATGGAAACCATATATACAATCGATTGCTAAATTAGCATCTGCTAAGGTTGCTTCTCTTTATCATGATTGTCATTTTCTTAGATTCCTCTCTAGCCTTGATTCCATTCTCTACCTCTACAAATTTCTTATTCATCCTGTATGGAATACTGTTGTCATATTTGGGCCAGTTATTTTAATCATGCTCTTTCTTCTAGACAAGGTCCAACAATGCATTGTAAGCATAGTTGGACCCATTCTATTTGCTAAGCTTGAGCCTCTTTTTAATTGTCGTAAAGTTGCATCTCTTTCTCTTTTCTACAAATACTATCATGGTCGCTTCTTAAAGAATCTATCAACTCTAGTTGCATTAACAAAATTCATTCTTGCTTGACTTGTCATTTAGTTAAGTCTCATTCATTTTCTGTATCTGTCCCTGCATGTTATAAAAACTTTTTATTTATCTAGTTTCTTTCCCCGCACTTCAACCCTTTGGAAGTCACTCCCATCTTCATGTTTTCCTGATTTATACAACCTTCAAATTTTTAAGTCTTCTGTCAACCGCTTCTACTTCTTTTTTTTTTTTTTTTGCTTTTTAATTCAACAGCCGACATCACCTAAATTATTTTTCACCTGAACCTTATTTTTTTGTTTAGCACATTGAGTAAGTTTCTTTATCATTTAATTAAATGTAAAGCACATAAAAATCAGTTACAAAATACATTATTTTCACAAGAGTGTCTCTGAAGACAGAAACGAGTAAATTAAAAGGGTCGGATATGATTTATGGCATTTTATAATGGAAAACTCTGAACTCATTGTTTTGAATTTATCCTGCAGCTTATTTTAAATAAACTAAAAATTCCATAAAAAACATAAAACCTGTTTTTTCTTGATATACTAAAACAAGACTTACCAACTAGCAGAATTAGCATTAAACAAGTAGTGATTGTCTCCACATTCTAACACTGGAAGCTGTTTAAAAAATAATAACATTACAAATAATATTTATACTTTTGATTACTTGGTAAATTAATGCTTAATATGCTCATTATTTTTTTAACAAACAATTTTTATTATTTTTGTAAAAATTAAAATTACAAAGATTTAAATATTTGGGGAAAAAAAAAAAAAAAAATACCTGGTTATATATGCAACTCTTTGTTTCTAAAATTATAGATATTAATCAATTTTAAAAAGTTACATTTTGCAAAAAAAAAATTTTGAAATAAAAAGAAAAAAAAATAACAACAAATTTACAAATAATAAAACTAAATTTTTAACTTTAAAAAAAACATTAATTTTTTTTGTTTCTGTTTTTTTCAATGTATAATGCATATCCAAAAAACTAGTTGCTTTTTCAGCAAAGGCTAGGAGAAGTAAACTTTCAGTAAAAATACCCCTCACCTTAGGGCTCTCAATTAATTCAAGGCTAGAGATGGTACCTCAATAAAAAAAATCATTTTGAACAGATATTAACTGCATCTAGTTACTGTCTTGTAGAAGACTTCCTAGACAAACACTTATGGTGTTTGTGTGGATTGTTCAATCTTGCACATGGAGCAAGCCTTCTGAGAAAAGGAGTGCAATCGAGCGCCTTATTTGACCATACGTAGATTATTTTGTTTTGACAACTTGGCCATGGCACTTTGCAAGTTTTGATAATTAACTTGTTTTAAAAATGTACTGAATAAATCAAACTAAACTGAAAAGAAAATTATAAAAATAAACAAACTATAAACTAAAAAGAGGAATAAAATCTTATCAAATGATAAAAAAAAATAAAAGATAAACAAGAAAAAATAAAAGCACAAAATTAATGTCTTTTTTTAATTTAAAAATATTTTATTTCATGGCATTTTGAAAAGATCAAAGCTATTTAATCCACTTAATTACTTTGAAACATAACTATTTAAAAATTTGAAATGGCAATATTTTCTAATGTCTACTAAGCGAATAAAACACCAATCTATCAGTGTGCCTCACTTATATACAAATCATACTAAGAACCACACTATTGTCGAGATGTGAGAAAAATTATTAGCTTTAAATATTGAGATGCTTTTAAATTAATAAAATTATTAAGTTTGAACTAATTATTGAGACCCTTTTAAATTAAAAAAAAATGTATTATTTTTATGCTTTTATTTTTACTGGTTTATCTTTTATTTGTTTTATTATTTGTTGAGATTTTGTTTCTCTTTTCAGTGTACAGTTTGTTTATTTTTAATTTTCAGTGCATTTTCAAAACCATCAAATTATTAAAACATAATAATAAGTGTTAAGGCTATGTTTTTTAAACAAAATATTATATGCATGATCAGGTAAGGAGTCTGATCACACACCATTCCTCAGAATGGCATGGACTGTTACACTAAAAGCACTGCTAGTGCTTTTAGTGTGAATTGTCAAAATAACAAGAAACAATTTGTTACAACATTGGGTTGATTAACAGGATTGAGGCAATCGCATCATTGTCTATTGTTTAGAGTGCCATGTTCAAATACCATTGAGTCAAGCTCTGTAATAACTTAAAACAGGACTATAGCACCTAAAAATATTAAACATAAAAAACCATATTTCAGTGTTGTACCCAGATGTAATCCCATACCATTTGACTGGTATGGACATCCAAAATATTATACTAAAGAAATTATAAGAAACTATATACTAAAGAAAATATACTAAAGTTCATTATTTGAAAAAGATTATATTTCTTTATTATTTATTTTTGAGAATTATTTTATACATAACATATTATTCTTTTGTTTGTTTTATCACAATTTAGTTTTTTGTTTTGTGTTAAGAACTTAATGAACTATTTTTAACAAACAATAAACATTTTCTAAGTTATTAATATGATATATATTTTTTTAATTGTTCACTTCCCTGAGGCCGAGAAGGCCACTACAGTTGAGGAGGCTACTTTTTGTAGTTACAACCCTCTCTTAACTCTATAACTACGAAACACAAACCTCAACAAACCATGCCGCTGTGCGAAGATATGAGTTAAGTGCGGTACTTCCAGGAACATGGTAAAGATCGAACTCGGAACTTCTCCCTTATGAGTCGAGTGCTTTACCATTACACCACTACCGCATATATATGCAAACATGACTTGTGTTAAACAAAAACATTTCTCCTTTTTAAAAAACAAAAAATGAAGTTTTTCAGTTGCTTTTACACATACCAATGGAGACTTTCGTAAAATATTAAAGTTTTTATGTAAATTAGTTTACAATTGGAAAGAAATTTTTTTTTATTAGGGAAGCTCTGGAGATACAGTACCAACAAACTTGTCCACAAAACCCAATGGGAAGGAATTTGGATGATAGTCAATGTCTAAACACAGGTTTTTGGAAACCAATGATGAGTTTTATTCAAATTAAAAATTGAAGTCAATATAATGTTTTCTTTATTGTGATTTTTAAACACTGTTTGTAAAAATATTTAGTTTTATAGTCTGACGATGATACCGTCTATTGGTCTCATTGTCAAAATATCACTAATAAATAAATAATATAACTATATATATATATATATATATATATATATATATATATATATATATATATATATATATATATATATATATATATATATATATATATATATATATATATATATATATATATATATATATATATCAACTCTCAGAATTAGGAAAAATGAGGTCAACAATAATTTGAGGGCCTCAATCTTTTAGAGGTTGGAGGCCAAATGCCGACCCTAATTCTGAGGGTTGATATATTGATATATATATATATATATATATATATATATATATATATATATATATATATATATATATATATATATATATATATATATATATATAACAAAATAATATAATTATATATATATATATATATAATATATATATATATATATATATATATATATATAACAAAATAATATAATTATATATATATATATATATATATATATATATATATATATATATATATATATATATATATATATATATATATATATATATATATAACAAAATAATATAATTTTATATATATATATATATATATATATATATATATATATATATATATATATATATATATATATATATATATATATATATATATATATATATATATATATATATATATATATATATATATATATATATATATATATATATATATAACAAAATTTTATTTTGAACTTTTAAAAAAATTTGGTCTTAAAAACAAATGTAATTATAGTCATTTTGTTGATATAAATGAACTTTTATCTATAAAATATAAACACTTAAAACCAACAATTGCAAACCAATTTTGCTTCCAACTTTCCAACACTAATTTAAAAATAAATAGCAAACATATATGTTTATATACATAATATATATACATAAAGTGTATCTTGGAAGCTTTTATTCCTTCTGGAATAAAAGTTTGGAAGCTTCGATTACTTCTCTTCAATTTTAAGTTGCTGTGTAATTAGTAATTTTTACAAATGTAAAAAAGTCCTGTCTAAGGATAAAGGGATCTTAAACTCCCAACACATGTTGTGTTCATATTTAAGATAATTAATATGTTAATGAAAATCACCTTCTTTAGGGGCTTACACCCCCCTCCCCAAAGAAGGTGATTTTCAAGCTATAGTAAGGTTTTTTTTACGAATTTAGTCGGCTAGCCAGTTAAATTTTCGTTTTGAGGACTTTTTTTTTTTAAATAGAAGCTAGTTGGTACTTTTTGAGGATTCACCCCCTCATTTTATTCGTAGAATCACCTCTGATAACAGCTACGCTAACTACTTGATTATTTCAAGTAGTTAGCGTAGTTATTATCAGCGCGCTCTTTTCATAAAAAAGTAGAACAAAAGAGAAAGAAAAGTTTCACATAATTAAACTTTGAATGAATAAGAGTTGTATAGAATATTTTTGTTTGTATCACTCTTTCTTTTTTTAGATGAGAGAAATAAAAGTTTAATTGTAACTTTTCTTTGAATAAATGGGAGTTACAAGAGAAAATTGCTTGAAAACTTGCATTTGTTGATTTTGTTAGTTTTATAATTTTCCATGTTAAGAGACCAATGCCAAATACGACACAAATTGGAAAATACCAAATATGTTTTTTAACGCACGTTATGACATTTTGACAATTTAAATTAGCATCTATTATAAATTATTGCCATTAAATGTGTTTATTATAGCGTTAATTAAAAATAATATTTCAGTATTTTTGTTAAATGTTAATTGTAATAAACGGGCAAAAATATACGTACTTCATGTTTTTAAATTGATGGTTATAAAATATTTACCAGTAAACTTAAAATCAAAATTTATAATGCCGACTTGTGCTTTAATTGGTTGTACTTGTAATGCAAATCCAGGATCTCACATATCCTTTCACAAATTTTCATATCTGATACTACTGTTAACTGTATTGTTAAGTGTATTCTTGTACTTTTATTAGAACCTGTTTAGGTTATAATTCATAACCTTAACAGGTTCTTATTGGTATAGAGTTGCCAACATTTACAAAGTTTCGATATCAAAAATCAAATTCAAATTTTAAAATTTCCTTTTTTTTATTTAATTTAGAAATTTAAATTAAATCAGCATAATCAAAAGCTTTTTATGATAAAAAAATTAACAGTTCCTCAAATATCTCTAATTAATACTGTCAGTTAATGAAAGTAATTGTTTTTTAGACTTTTTTTTAGGCAGGAAAATAAAAAATGTCATAGCGTAAAAACGATCAGAAGTTAGAAAATAGTTCCCATTGTTTAAATGAAAATAAATAAGATTCAGAATATATAATACTGCGCTCTTTTGCACAAAAACGAGAGAACGTATATATAAAGTTCTATATAATGTAAAATAATCGTATGAAAACCATAAAATTTGTAAGTAAAGCTTTAATATTTGTTTTAATTTAAAACAAAAGATATATAAATTTAAAAATTATTAAGATATCTGTAAAAAATAAGTTGCTCCCATAAAATAAAAATAACTTATTATTTTTACTTTTTACAAATTTTTTTTTGTGGTGTTTGGAAAAAAAATACAAATAAATTTGTTTTGCTGTATGTTAAAAAAAATACAACAACATGCTTATTGAATTAAAGCAGAAAAATGCAACTTTGTTTAATTATATTTTTCTTTTGTCAAAAGTCTACTGTGACATCAAATACTAAAACTTTTATGAATTAAACGCGCTTCAAAGGAATTGCCAAAGTCTGTAGATTGCGATGTATAATTTAAAAACTCTGAGTTTTTGAATAAAATGGAGAAGGCAAGCTTTGGCTAAAACAACAAGATTAGTTTTTTTGGGTATGCATTCATTATTTATTTTTAATCAAAAAAACTTTGTTCAAACCTTTTTTTTTAACATTATCTTAAATTAAACACAACATGTGTTAGGAGTTTGCGATCCCTTTAAGCTGTTATTCTCATTTTACTAAATCTTGTATCTTTTCTCAGATGTTAGGTTCTTGAGACTTTTGGTTAGTCTTCAACAATGTCATTAACTAAAGTAAGTCTAACATTTAATGTCTAATTCATGAGTCTGATCTTTTTACTTCTCCCCAGAATAAAGCAGAGTTATTTGCAAAGAAATCTTACTCTAACCTGACTCTTGAATATAATGGCCATACTCTTCCTAACAGTTAAACAGATTAACCCATCGTTAAACATCAAAATCACTCTGGCTTTTAATGCTAATGTTAATTCTCAATTAAACACTTCTACAGTTTGTGTTTCAGAATAGATTTCCATCATAGTCTTAAAAAAAGTGTTCTCCAGAACTCTCTTCAATTTTTGCTAAACTTTTAAAAAGTGCTAAATAAGTGGTTCCAATTTTTCAAAACTCTAGAAAATAGTTTTACCCCTCCAACTATCCTATGCTTAGTCTTCATTCTGTTATTAGTTTCTTTATATAAAGGTTTTGAGGTTATCAAATTGTTTCTTTCTAACTACAGTAGTTAAGTTATTGTTGAAGGCCTACCCTCTTCTTTATTTGAAAGGTACCACAAGAAATAAGAAACAGTACAGGAGCAAAGATGGAACCATCTTTGCTCCTGTACTGTTACTCTGTACTTTACTCCAATAACAATCTGCATGAAATCTAAAGTGGTTCTATTTGCTGATGACTTAACTTTACACTCTTGTGTAAACCCCTGCTAAATCTTATAATTTTGCTGGGGCCGGGTTTGCAAAAAGTCTCATTTTTAACTTATTAAGAACATATTAAGGGGTGGCAATATATAATTTTCAGAAATAAAGTTTTAAATTATTAGTATAAATAGAACATAACTATAACAATTTATTTCAAACTCTTAAGTGAAATAATTAAGTATCACTGTAAAATATCCTAATGTATATATCATTTTGGAAAATGAAAGAGTTAATGTCAGTGAATCTGTCAAATACCTGGGTATTAAAATTGACAATAATTTGAATTTTTATAAACACATTAAACGTATTGCAAATAAAATTGCTAAGTTTAGTGGGTATTTTACCAGAGTCACTAAATATCTGTCAAGGTGGACAAAGATTAATTTTTAATACAATTATTAAGTTGCATGACAAAAAGGGATTAAAGAATTTAGTTGTGAAACGCTTAAAAGAAAAGGGATATATATAAATAGTAGTTTCGCAGAACTTGAATTCTCTTTATTGTGATTTTTATTGTGATTTTAAATAGCATTGAAATGAGCTAAATATATTAAATAAATAAATAAGATTGTAAAAATTGCTCTCTCTTCTTTAAACTTTTTTAAATAAGAAAAATGCACTGAAAACCAGTCTAGACTACACAAGTCTGGAAACATGGATGTTACACTTGAAAAAGAGTTTTAATATTTAATTATTTTTTACTATTATAGTAAATCTAATTTGTTAATTTAAGTAAATAATGTAAAAAAAGTGCTAAAAAAAGTTAAAGAATAAAAATTAAAAAAAAAAAAAAGGATTGAGACTAAAAATTTTACTCTAAAAAATTTTTTGTTATAAGTATTCTGATATGCATTCTTTAGAGAAATGTCTGATTTTAAAAAGAGTAAAACAAATCAATATCTGTTGTCATATATATATTTTTTCTATATCCTCAAGTCTTATTTGTAACAAATCAATAATCAAACAAACTTTTAAATAATCATTTAAAAGTAATTATTTTAAAATGGTGATTAATTTGTAATTAATCACCATTTTAAAATAGTTAACTATTTTAAAACGAAGTAAATATAATAGTAAATATAATATATAAATATAATAGTAAATATAAAAACATAGGAAACTATTTTAGATGATCTTATAAACAACGTGGGTCAAAAACAATAGTATTTTAATTTTTATTTTACTAAAATAATTTTAATATTCTTAAATTATCAATAACAGAACTAAAAAAATATTAATAATATTAGTTTGAAAAACTGTTTAGGATCTATATAAAGTAACTATATTTATATGACACTTCTGTTAAAATTAAAAGCCAAACTTAATACCTTTTTTTTGTGAAACTTGTATATCTATAGGAACTTCAAAATATAGACTAGAGGCAATAATTTTAAGAGCAGATGGGTTCCCGGCATCGGTAATCAACTTTAAAGAATTTTTTGAACTTATGGTATTCATACTTCTTTTCTTTATACACAAAGCTAAACGAAGTGTTGCAGAATCAGTAAATGTTCTATACTGAGTAGCTACAATAAGTGAAACTATCCTATTTGATTCCAACACTTGCCGCAAAAATCTAGTACAAATCATAGGAAAAAGAATTGCAATAGTACATCATGTTTACGTGTTCGAGCAAGACCATGTGAGCGTAGCGTTAAAATCGGACTTAACATCGCTATTATACACTACGACAGTCTAAATAAATAATTATGTTCTAGATTATTTTAACATTACTGGTACAAACTTTTTCATTAGCAAAATAAATTTAGTGTTGATTTTTTCAAGTCCACAATTGTTTTTTGCTTACCAGCCTTTTTTTAAATACTAGGGCTTGGTTGTTTTTTGTTTTTGAAATTGCATCGTAATTTAAAATCTAAAATTGAGTGGTTTGTGTCTTTTTTGTTTGTGTTTTTTTTTTTGGAATAAATATAGACAGTTCTTTACTTTTTTTTTACCCCACTAGAATCTGAAACTCCTAGAATATCTTAGAAATTGAGGAATTTTTTGCTGTTGTTGTTGTTGTTTAAAAAAGAAGCTAAAAAAATTAAATTGAGTAAAATATGAGGAAAATAATTGTTATTAATCAGGCCCGTATGAACAAAAATTGTATTGGGGGGGGGAGGGGTAGTACTACCCCGAAATAGTTTTGAGAACCTTTTTTTTTTTCATTTTTTCATTCAATATCTTCAAAATTATTTATTTGAAGAAATATTAGGGGGAAAATGCCCCTGCTGCTCCCCCTGCTCCGGTTGCAACGAGCCTGTTAATTACACTTTAATTTAAAAATTAGTTTACTAAAATTCTAATTACAAACGACAGCTATTTGTGTGTTTTTACAGATGGAGTAGATTAGGGTAATATAAACACCTTAAGCAAAAATTAAAATACTTTCAAAAATAGTTATGCTGGATCCATACCCGACAAGAAATTTTAATGCGGGTCATATATGGCATTTGCATGCTAACCATATGCTTTCCACTCTCCTTAATGGGATGGCATTGATGCGTCCCATATGTGGCTATAATGTTTACCCCACTAAAACCACACTAAATAAAAACGAACGGCACGCATCATTTGCGCGTGAAAGTTTCATGTGGCCCATGTGTGGGAAGCACATGTTAGCACATGTATTTACCACTCTCCTTTATGGGATGGCGTTGGTGCGTTTCATATGTGGCTTTAATGTTTATCCCACTAAAAACACACTAAATAAGAGCCAACGCCACACTTCGATTGCATGAAGAAGTCATATTTATTCCTTCACACTTTCATCTATCGAATTATTATATTCTATCAGTTTGCCTAAACGTAACGAATCAAAACACTATAAATGAAAGAATTCTCGTAAGGAGTATAAAAAAATCTTGATATACAAATTCTAAATACTCAATATTCTAAATATACAAATCACTACAATCAAAATCAATAAATATGTAATACATAAAATCAAATATTCTAAATATACAAATCTCTACATGGGATCTAAATATACAATTATTCAAAATCATAACAGGTATTGTGGTTTATCCTCCTCCGGCTAGTTGCCATATAGAGGCCACATTAAGGTGGCCTCTATATGGCAACTAGCCGGAGGAGGTACCGCACATCAAGGTACCGCAAAGACAGGTTCAGCTCCCCAAGGAGCTTCATAACCCGCTCTACGGACCAAGAGTAAAGTGGGTTTAGGAAGAACGAAGATATGTTAGAGTGAAAGACAGAAGAAGTCGTGTTAGAAAGATAGCATAGAGAAAGCGGACAGGATTGCACCCGATGTTAGGATGTGCAATAAGTGATGTGCAATAAGTTGAAACAGGGACTAAAATCACAAATACTAAAAAGAAGTTTAGATGAGTTTTTTTTTTTTTTTATAAAATTTATTTTAATTAATAAATATTTACAAGTTTTATATACTATTTTTGCATAAAATATACGCTCGTAACATTAAATGGTTTTTTAAAATTAAGGTAAAGTGGAAGAATAGGATGTTTTAAAAAGGTTACAAGAAATTTTTATTTAAAGGAAGAAATTTATAATTAAATAACAAAAACAATTACAGGACTTTAACACAAAGGAAACTCATTACGTGCGCTATAGAAAAACATTTAAATAAGGAAATTATAAGTGATAAAATAAAGGCTGGCAGTGATTATTTAATCATAATTAATAATATTATGTTGTAAAAATAATAATTTATAGAGAAATGGAAAAAAAAACACTAAACGTATAGTTCTTTTATTGAGCTGGTCTATTAGGTTAGCTCATATGTTTAGTTTTAGATTCCCATTCTCTACTTGGCATATTATATTTTTAACAAAAAAAGTTGACAGAAAAAAATCGAAAGAGGATGTTTTGAGTCGGTCCGCATGCGTGGGAGGTAAAGTTCTTTTTCCAAAATTGGGTCCACGGCATTGTTGTTTTTGTTGAACCGTTCCAGAAAAGTTCTGCTGTAACAACTGTCTTTTTGTTTTTTGCCACTTCTAAGTAAAATTTTTTTGTTGATTTTAGGGGGATGTTAAACAGGGACCCGTTTTGACCTAAAGCTTCTATTGTTGTTTTGTAGTACTGAGACATTTTGTTGTCCCAGTGTTTTGGAAAATTGTTCTGTTTCAAAAAGTTCCAGCTTTGGTTTTGGTTCGTATATTTTATAAGTGAACTTGCCAACCAGTACTTTGAAGTACTGGTTGGCAAGTTCAATCGTGAGTTTGGTCCTCTTCGCATTCTTTCAATTGAAAGAGTGTTTTGAGGCGAAGTGCAAGACTTTGCTCCTTCGGAGATAAAATTCCGAGACCCCCACTTTTGACGGGTAAAAAAAGTGTCTCTCGTTTGACCGGATTGAAATTGGTCTTTTGCCACAGATTTTCGAAAATGGCTTTATGCAAACGGTCTATTACCCAATCAGGAGTAGGCAACACGTTTGATAGAAACCAAACTTTTGACATTGCTAACGCATTGATCAACATAGTCTTTCCCCTAAGTGACAAAGTGCGTAGTCCCAGAAACTTGAGTTTTTTCTCTATTTTGTTTAGAGTTACTAACCAGTTGAAATTGGTAGTATTACTCAGTCTGGTGTAAAAAGTAACACCTAAAATTTTAAAACCGGTGTTATTGCTCCACTCTATGCTGTCTAATTCAGGGTAAATTTTAGGATCAAAGCCCCCAAGAGCGAGACCCTTGTTTTTTGAGGCATTGATCACTGAACCACTTGCTTTTTCAAATAGTTTTACTGTTTCGAAAAAAAAACGGACTGATTTTACGTCCCTGGCAAAAAAGTTCGAATCGTCTGCGTACTGCTGCAATTTAAGTGGTTTTGGTGTTCCTGGTAATGGGAAACCCTCTATTCTGCTGTCTGCTCTGATCACCAAAGCGAGAGCCTCGGCGACAAAGACATACAACAACAGAGAGAGGGGGTCGCCTTGTCTAACTTCCCTTTCGATAGGGAAAGAGGCCGACAAGAAACCGCAACTCGGAACAGATGCCGAAACCTCTGAATATAGGGTGTTTACAAAGGATACAAAATTTTCTCCGAGGTTGAATTTTCGAAGAATTTGCAACAGAAACACACGATCGACTTTGTCAAACGCCTTTTCTTGGTCTATTGTTAAAATGAAACTAGGTAGATTTTTAAATTCTGCGTAATCTATTAGGTCACGTACTAGATGTAAATTTGAAAAAATGTTTCTACCTGGAATTCCGCAAGTTTGATTTGGTTCTATAATTTTCCCCATTACTTTTGCAAGTCTTAGGGCCAGCGCTTTTGCGATTATTTTGTAATCAACGCCAATTAAGGATATGGGCCTCCAATTTATGCATTCAGTTAGATCTCCTTGTTTAGGGAATCAGTGAAATTATTAATTTTTCATAGAGTGGCTGGTGTTTTTTTCTACGAAAAGTATTTTGTAGAAAGTTTCTTCAAAATCTGTTTTTTTCCGTCATTATTCTAAAATGAGTTTTTTTTTGTATTGCAGTTTATTGTCATCCGGCTAATTGCCATACTGACACCGTAAAAAAAATAAAAGTTACAAGATTTCGTAAATATATACCCCCGTTACAAAGATGTCTTAGACCCATTACAATAAAATCACCATAAAAAACCAAATATAAAAAACACAAAAAATAAAATCGAAAGAGAATAAAAAGAAAAATTGTTTTGAAAAGGAAAAATTGAAACTGTTTAGTCACGTGTTTTTCTTATCTGAAAAAAGTTATTTCTTTAGTTTTTATCAAATATTTAGCTAATCATTAATTCTCTGTTATCATTTCATATATGAAAGAATTACATTCATCTAATATATACAATTAGTTAAAAAAAAAATAAAAGTATTTTATATAAAAAGTTTCTAAAAAAGTCTAAAATTTTATTCAAAAATAGTTGCATATATCAGCAACCAATCTCAAGCTTCCGTTGCAAAAAATATTTTTTATTTCCTCCTTGTGTATTTCTTGTTTATTTTGTTTAAATATTATTAGTAACTCGTTTTTTAAAACTTTTTCAATTTTTGCTTTCAATTTTTTTAAAAGATATTTGTTTGTAAAAACCTTATTATCGAAGTGGCTCTTCATTCTATTATAAAAAATTTCCGTTAGCAAAAAATCTAATAAAATATTCCCAAAAACTCTTTGTTTGGCTCTTTTTTCATAGCCGAATAAAATAAATTTCAAACTGTTAATATGAGGGTATTCTAAAGGGTAGAGTTGATCTAGAATGTCTAAAAGATAAAAAATTAAAGGTTGCACTTTTTCACATTCATAGATCATGTGAGCAGTCGTTTCAACTTTTGTTTTGCATTGAGGGCATAGCTGATCTTTTCTTACTTTTATTTCAAACATCTTATCGTTTGTTGGTAATATAAAATGTGCTGCTTTGAATCGAATTTCGCTCGCTTTATTATTAGTGTTTCTCTTATAAATGTTGACAAAAAATTGTTCCCAATCAGTATGGTTTAGGTTGTCCATGCTATCAAACATGGACTTCCAATTATTAAATTTATATTCAAGTTTTTTGATGGGTTTGTTTAATAATTTGTATAATGTTAAAACAGTTAGGTTTTTTAATTCATATTTTGATTTCTTTTTAGCTATATATTGCGGGGCTTTTCTAAAATCGTAATTTTGAGATTGGGATAAAATTTTTCGCCTCCATTCTGGCGGAAGGGCT